TTTATTTGGGCCAAGAGGCCCACTATGGTTTTTTACTTGTTTAGTTTCACATAAATATTTAGTTTTATTGGATTCAAATTTGAATATGAAAACAGATATTTAGTCATTTAGATATGGGAAAAATGTATAAAAAAGAATTCTCAGTTTTCAGAAAATGCTAAAAATAACCTCAACTTTGATTTCGGTAAAATAATTCCCTATTTTTTATTGACTTTTTATTCTAATCGTTAATTTATGTTGACTTTCTATTTTAGTTCTAATTTTTAATGACTTTGCCAAATAAAATTAGCGGAGTAAAATTTACTTTATTTTGATTAAAATAACCCCTTACCTCTCTAACAAATCTATTTTTAACAAAAATTTAACTTAATATTGGAAGGGTTTGAGTCTCATTTTTGAGTTTTATTTTATTAATCAAAACGACATTGTTTTGTGGTTAACAGAGAATTTCAACAAAAATTTAACCTCGTTAATTTTTTCGTTGGTCAACTTAACAACATGATTTATTTGGCAAATTCAACAAAATTTAACGATTAAAATAGGAAATCAACAAAAATTAATGATAATATAAAAATTCAAGAAAAGTTAGCAAATTATATTACGGAAGCAGAGTTGGAGCTTTTATGGCATGTTTCTTAAGTTGATAATTTTTTTGACATTTTTTCATTTTAGATATATCAAAGATTACTCTTGGATGTAGAAAGATTTTGGGTCGAAAATCTATATTTCAAAGATTAAAAAATTATTTTATAATATTCTAAGATCCGACTCCTAAGACCTCAAACATTTTAAAGGAGTAAGGTGAATATGAGACCTCAAACATTCAATAAGTGTCGCGTGAGAACAAGTTGTAGGGATTTATGTATAATTTGAACAAAGTTAAAAATTATAATGTACATATTAAAATAAAATTATTTTATTATTATATTATTTAGAGATAAACAAAACTTATAGAATTGATGGAGAACTTGCTGGAGGAGGATCGCTATAAATACAAATTAATCTGAAGGTAGTAATAGGGTAAGTTTTTCCAGGATAAACAAGCAAGACACACGTAGTAGGAAGTGAGAACACTGCTCTGCAACAATTTCTTGTTAAGCGACTGTAATTTTTGTTATATGCTAACTGCAACGCATGGAAACATCCTGGTATAAAGTCGATGTTGGTTCTCGAACAATAATTTGTCTGAGCTTTCGATTGTCTGACTATTAATGCAGAGATTAAGACTAAAAAGAAAAACATCACTATGGTTTGTTTTAGTTTCATTTTTGAGAAGATTGAAAAAGCGAAATTTGTTGTGGGGTTTGGAATTTTTGTAGTTCAGATCTTTTTCGGGGATGTATTAGATGTTGTGTAGGGAATTATATATATAATACTATATTAATAAAATAGTCTAGTCAACCAAACCGGTGGGAAAGAATATAGGTTTTAGAATAAAACTATATTGACTAAAACCTATTTACAGTCTAAAATTTATAAAATTACCAAAACAAATTTACATATACCAATCTTAAATTTAATTTTTGGTTGGAAGTCAAACTATAATACTAATACCAATAAACTATTCCATATTTTTCTATTGACTATCACTAATTTACTTTTTAAATTATTTTATTACCAAATAAAATAACAATTTATCTTGTCAAAAATTATTTCGTTTCATTTTGAACTTAAATTTATTTTTCAATTTATTTAATTTAAAGTAACAATAAATATAAATATGCATGATTTAGCAAAAGTTTTGAATACTGTTGAATGTTTTTTTTTTTTTTGAAACAATCCATTAATTAAAACACCAATACAAACGCAAATACAACTTACCAACGAGAAACAAAAGAAAGCAGCTCACCTATTACAAGACTTACATCTGGAAGAATTCAAACCACGTAGCTAAAGCCGAAGGTCTTGAAGAAGACAGGCTTTGAGCAATAGGATCTAACCGGCACCGAATAGTGGTCTTAATATCAGAAAAATATAAATCTTAAAGAACTCAGAAATCGGTTTCGAAGACCGAGTTTCCAGAATTTCTCAGTTTTTTGTTTCCCCACAAGTCCTACGTAAGAATGACTATACTTGTAATGACTTGAGTTAATTAATAAATATTAATTGCTTGTATTTTAATTTTTAATTACAAAATATAAGTGTCAATATGTAATGTTTTTAAAGTTTTTATACACTTTTGTTAACCACAAGATAATAGATTTGTGGCGTTTGAAAGATTGCGCCTACCAAGCAAGCACCATTCATCTTTGTTTATAATCTGAAAGTTGAATGAGTTCAATCTAACTCTTTAATCAACTTAAATTTGTATCCATGAACCCTAAAGTGACTATCGTATGTAAATTCATCACCATAATCATCATCATAAGAAACTAGGAGAGACGACTAACTCGTACACTTTTGTTAATATATGAGTTACCTCAACCTATAAAATCATTCAACTCTAATTTATTAGATAATGAGTTGGGTTGGGTTACCCATTTTGACACCTCTAGCTAGATGGCTTCGACAATGCATATGTGGTTAATGTCTTTGCAAAAGCCTCGAGCTTCCTTCGATCATAACTAGAAATATGAATTAACATTTTTCTTACAATTTACTAATAAGTTTATGATATATCAGAGTTTTTTTTTTCAACAGCCATTTATGATATATCAGATGCAGTTTTTCTTATAAAATTAAATTAATAATAATGATTTTTTTTACAAATTCAATAAGTAAAATAGATTACATAAAATGATAATTTCTAGAAAGAAAAAAAAATTGTGACACAATAATCAGAAAAAATGAAAAATTAATGACATACATTCCATAGCATATTTGCAACCTCATCTCGTATGTTATTCATCTTTTGCATGGTTATATATGAAACACGATACAATTATAAGTCTGAGTCAAAACATGCTTTAATTTGTGGATTTGTATTAACCAAACAAGTGTTTAACATTAAATTCAGCAGAAGATGGCAAAAATAATAATACATTTATCACTTGATCTATCTTTACAAATGGATTATGGATAGTTAATTTTAGGAATCAAAATTTATATACTAATTCCCAGCAAATGACAAATGTTTACATCTAAAAAAAAATGTTTACATCTAAGATGATATCCTTTTAAAACTGAAGGAGTAAGATGAATATGAGACCTCAAACATTCAATAAGTGTTGAGTAAGAACAAGTTGTAGGGATTTTATGTATATTTTGATCGAAGTTAAAAAAATTATAATGTAAATATGATTTATTTTCTTATTATATTATTATAAATATTAAGAGATAAACAAAACTTATAGAACTGATGGAGGAGGATTGCTATAAACACAAATTAATCTGAAGGTAGTTATAGGGTAAGTTTTTCCAGGATAGACAAGCAAGACACAAGTAGTAGGAAGTGAGAACACTGCTCCGCAACAATTTCTTGTTAGGCGACTGTAATCTTTGTTATATGCTAATTGCAACGCATGGAAACATCCCGGTAGAAAGTCTATGTTGCTTCTCGAACAATAATTTGTCTGAGCTTTCAATTGTTGGAATATTAATGCCGACATTAGGACTAACAAGAAAAACATCACTTTGGTTTGTTTTAGTTTCATTTTTGAGAAGGTTGAAAAAACAAAATTTGTTATGTGGGTTTGGATTGTATGTAGTTGAGATCTTTTTTGGGGGATGTATTAGATGTTGTGTAGGGAATTATATATATTGAAGATAGTTTGGAAAGTTTATTTATACCTTTGTCTAAGTCATATGCATGTTAGGAGATTCACATTCAATTTATATTAATAAAATAGTCTAATCAGTTTGGGAAAATATATAAGTTTTAGAATAAATCTCTCTATATATATATATATATATATATATATATATATATTGTTAAAATCTATTTGCATTCTAAAACTTATAAAATTACCAAAAGTTTTACATATATCAATCTTAAATATAATGTTTTGGTTGGTAATCAAATTATAATATTAATACCAGTAATTGATTATCATTATTTAAATTATTTTCTTTCCAAATAAAATAACAATTTTATCTTATTTTTCCATGTCAAGATTTTTTTTATTCGTTTAACTTTTAAGTTAAATTTTTCTATTCGATTTATTTTAATTTAAAGTAACAATAAATATAAATCAGCATGATTAAGTAAAAGTTCTGAACACTTTTATGTTTTTTTGTGCTTAGGTAATTATCTTATATGACGAGAAATTTCCCCCTATCTTAGTTTCTAATTGAAATTGATACACACAATCTAATTTGAATTTACATATATGCTATTATTTTCAAATAATGTTTTCACTTCATCTAATTTATTTATATTTCTTTTATATAAGAATTTAAGTCTTTTTTTTTGCCAACAACTTAATATTGCTCAAAAAAGACATTCATATGGAATGTTGTTTACTTCTTGAAAACTGATTTTTAACTTATACAGTACAATGGTATGTAGGGATCATTTTTGGGAACACAATGATCTATTTTATATTATTTTTTTTAATGAATGTAAAATTTATTCATAAACAAATCATTGTTACATCAAGTGCATCATTTTTGAAACCTTGGAATTGCTAAAATCCATACATTAAATCCGAGTGGAAAACCAAAATTGTTGTTTACGGAAGTCTAAAGTAAAGTAATCCGATTACGAATGTTTTTGTCGATGATTTTTTCAAGTTTTGAAGCTGGGAATGAGTCTTCTCCATGCCGGCGATTATTTTATTCCCGCCTTTGTGTGAACTATAGTTTGAAGAGCATACCGTAGGAGCAGAAGTGTGTGATGGTCGAGGGTTTTACTTATTACAAGCAAGGCGATTTGATCCCAGTCATAACTATACTCCAGAGGAGAGAAGACAAGACATTGAAGAACATGTATACCATGCATAGAGATTATACTTTTGCACACATACAAAAAAAGAAAAGAGATTGTACTACACCAAAAATAATCTGCAGACGGGCCAACTCAATCTTTGACATATCAAAGTCTTGCAAAATTAGAACCGATTTAGAACCGTTGCCTAACCGGACTAATCATGAAAAAAAACTAGGAAATATTTAAACCGGTTTAGACCATCACACCATCTCTAACCATATATACAGCCAAAGTTAGCTAGGGAGCGAGCTTCTGGGCACTCTTGACTGCTCTTACATAGAAATGCAATCTCCATAACATGATGTTGTCCTGACCAAACCACAGTTCGGTTGAAAATGCTGTTAGTGTTCCATTTAAACTTATCGGGACCAGAGAATCAAACTATGCATTGTGTCTTACCGCCTGATCCAGGTTAACGATAACATTATCGTTGAAATCTTTGTCAGATGTTATGTAATGGCTTCCTACTATTTCAGCGACGCGGTTGAGATTTCTTTCAGGTAGCTCCTTGATTGATTTCTGAAGCTCCCGAATTTCACCACGAGTCATAGGTCTGTTTTAAAAGAAGTTAACGACAACACTTAAGTAACCACTAACAAAGAATGTTATCATTTTATAAGGAAAACTATATAGCTGATCATATAATCGCAAACTAGAGATCAATTAGACCACACAATACCTGCAAGTGGCCACCACATCATCAAGAAGTTTCTCGAGTTCCTGCTGCATATTGTCCAGCTTTCAAAACAAAACAAAACAAAACAAAACAAAACAGAAAACATATGCAGAAGTAAGCTTATAATAGATGTTTAATCTTTCAACAAGCTAGATATACTAATGTGGAACAATGTTCTGTAGATTGAGAAGAGGAAGTTCATTACTTTTGACAGCAGAACATTTGAATACTGGGACGTTATGTTCTTGACCATATCAGGGTCAGACCTCAGAAGTAGTTGAATATCATCTTCCTGAAGGAATTTTGAGAAAAGAAAATGAAAGATATACAAGTATGTTTCAAGCAAGAGGATTAACAACATATAAGTAAAAGACATACTCTCGCTCCTCCGGATTCTTCAGGAACAAGATTGCTCGGTGAGGATGACTGACATTTGTTCCCTAGCTGAGAAATCAGGTACAGAGAACATACACACTCCTGCATCTGCAAAATGAATTGCAATAACATTGAATACTCCTTTCATCATACTAGTATAAAACCGATACCACAAGTAAAACTTCGATGTACCTCATCAACTTCTGGAGTTAGATTCCTCACACACTGCCTTAACAAAACATTCAAATTCTCTTTCTCGATGTTCGACATCCCCGCTCCTATTACACTCTGAGAATGCCTCTCATTGGCTTGTTGTTGTTGATCATGATGTGAGATCCTCTCACCTTGAGACAAAAGCTCAGCTACTTGAGATCTATAATTACCAAAAGTATCTGGTTTGTTTCTTTGGACTTCAGATGACGACGGACGCGCTTCTGCTGTTCTTTTCGGCATAGCTTCAATAAACACTGCACTCTACACATAGCTCAAATCAATAAATGCAGAAAATTTGTGCAAAAACAAATCAATGTCTAAAGAATTTGGAACCTTTGAAAGCTATTGCATAGTTATTGTGAACAAAAATCGAAATTCAGAGTAACATACATCACTCAATTTCGAGTTTTCACGAAACCCTGAAGGTTTGATTACACAATTTTTCAATCCAAAATTTCACGATAGATTACAATACAAACTAGAATTACGAATTTGAGAGTGAAAAATCGAATTGCACATCAAAATTAAGCAAATAGCGAACCAATCTCTACAGTGATACGATATGATTGAAACGACGCTCAGGGAAAAGCAATCTCCGTTTATATATAATGAAACAATTCAGAGAAAGAAAAAAACCATGGAGACGCGAAACTCACCGAGTAAATAGTCTCGCCGGAGATTAATGTCGCTGGAAACTGCCGGCGATTTAATCGACGGAGAAGCCGAAAAAGGGTTAAAAAGTGATAATGGCAAAAGTAAAACAGAGTAAAGCAAAGTAGATTGCTTGCCGTTTTTATGGTAGCCAATGGAACACGTGACGTCGTGGGCCCATTGCAAAGCTTTCAATTGCATCAATTATATGGGCCTTCCTATGCTTGGGCCCAGTTTACTTTCTCAGCTCCAATTGTGTGATCATTCATCATTCTCTAGATATCATTTTTTTTTTTTTTTTTGATTCTAATTTTAAATTATATTCAAAGAAAAAATAAACGTTTTTACAACAAGTGCAACGAGTTATCAAAAAAAAAATTGAAATTAAAATCTGATTTTCTAAAGAGTTTTGAAAAATGTTTGGAACCAATCGAACTCGAGTTCGGAACTAAACTTGGAACGCCATGTCGTACCTCCTGTCCCCATATGTCTGATGGAAGTGATTTAATTTCTGACCTGTTTATCTATCCAACCGATCAGTGTTGCTGAACTGTTTGGTGCGTCACCGTGTCGCCGACTATTTCGCTCTCGCCAAATAATATAATTGGTAACTTGCAGAACATACCCGAGTAAGATGCTTTTGACATATCATCAATACATTATATATAGTATAATGTTTTATCCGACTTTCATTCACAAGATTGGAATGGATGTTTTTTTCTTTTTTTTTTTGATAGTTTACAAAATATACATGTTTCGTCTGAGTTTTAAATGTGCTTATCAATTACATAGTATGAATTTATTTTTAACTTCCACTTAATATTGGATAACTGTAGTATATTAATCAAGTTTTAATTCTTATTTTTTTTTAGCTTAAACTAAAATTAAATTTTGATGAAAATGTACTCATTAGTTACCACAAAATCAGTCTCAATAGTCACGTGTTCTCTATTGTCTCTTGAACTTGGAAATTATCATCACCACATGTTCTCTCTTTTACTAACAAAAGATCAAACCAATAAAATTTTAAGACAAGTTCCGATGGACCCGGTCAACCAAAACTTTGGTAAAATCTCTAGAAATCCCTATAAATTAAATTTTACTTCTTCCTTAATTTCTCCAAAATCACTCTTTTCTTCTTGTATTAAAAAAAAAATCGCCTTTACCATAAACCACAAAAAAATACGTAATTAATTACCACAAAAAATCACATTTCACACACAAAATGACAATGACACTTAAGCTCCTATCTCTCGCCGTGGCCGCATTAGCCGTCACCGCCGTATTAGCCGCCGATCCTCCAACACCGGCAAACTCGCCGAAATCCAACGGCGAAAAGAACTCAACCTCTCCTTCTCCCGCCGCCGCAGCATCCCCAAAATCACCACCCACAGCCTCCGCTCCAACCTCAGCGCCTACGGCTGCTCCGACCATGGCCAAGAAAAACTCTACCGGAACTCCAAGCCCTTCCCCATCTTCAAACAGCGGTAACACCGCAAAGCCTCCAAAGTCATCATCAGCCAAAACTCCGGCTTCAAGCCCTGACTCAAGCTCCGGTGATTCTTCTGAAGGTCCTACCAGCTCGTCCGACGCACCTACCGCCTCCTCTCCGCCATCTCCGACTCCAGACATGTCTCCATCATCCGACGAAGGAACTGGCGCCAGTGACGGCCCTGAAGCTTCGTCTCCAACGGCAAGAGCCTCATCGCTTGTCATCTCTATCTCCGGCTCTGTTATCGCGGCCGTTGCATGGTTTTTCTTCATATGATTGAAGATTACTATTTACTTGGAGATTTCATATTACATTTAAGATTATATTATACGTTTCATATTTAATTTTTTTGGTTTTGTTTTAAAACAGGTCACGCTCCGGTCCCATTTTTAACACGTTAAATTCGTGCATAGTATGGAGGTTAGGATATTTGATGTTGTTACAAATGTTTAGTTTGTGTTATTTATGTTTATGTAATCTTTAGTCATTATAACAATAATCATGAGATTCTCATAATTCGAAGGGTCTATTTGTAATTTAATTACATCCATTTTCTAATGATCCTTGCATGGCTAGTTTCTATATATAGCATCTCCTAATGAACAACAATGCGGAGCAACACAAGGTATAGCGTTACAAATTATAGACTAAATCAACAACAAAACAAAATCATAAGAACGTTTAAATACATATGGTTATGTATATCTTTCACTTATCACATATACTACTTATGCATGTGAAACAAACACTTAGTTAAAAATACCCTAACCATATTCTAAAAATAGATTAACTTGTAACCATTTTCTTATAGATATAGAAAAAGGAACAGCTCGTGAACTCGTATATGAGTTAAGAAACACAACACCTAACCGTAAATAACAACTCGCTAAATAAACACATAACCAAATACAACCATCTCCATTACAAGTTTAAATTCCCGATCTCCATTTCTCCTTCACTTTCAATTCTCCTTGATTGTTTAATCGATCTACTTTTGTGAACCTCATAGAGAATCATTGTATATACAATTCAATACTATAACCCCAAAAGGTCCATTGAATAAAAGAGCCTAGGGGATCAAAATCATCACGTACTATACGATGGCGAGCCACTTCTTCCTCGTCTTCATTCTTGTAATTCTAACCGTCGCTAATGGAATTTCAGCAGCTGACTCTGAAAAGTCTCAAGCGCCATCTTCATCAAAGACTCCTGCTGACAACAAACCAAAAGTAGATAACTCTACAAAGAGTTTGATTGATAATCTTGGTCCATCTCAAGATTATCCGGATTACGAAATCCCCTTAGAACTTGCACCAGACGGTGTCGTGGTGGTGGGGGATTACGTTCCCATTAGTCCCATCGGTGGAAGACAGACTCCCGATACGCTTGCACAACCTGAAGCGGATCAGGATGTCAAATCCTCGACATCTAGCTCCGCCTCTAGATCTTCTTCAACCGTTTTGGCTGTTGTTGTTGCGATGGGAGGAGCCAGCTTGTTTTTCTTTTGAACCGGAGAGGATTAATTAATGAAATGTTGTTCTATCAATCATAGAGTGAAACATGAGATATTTTTCTATTTGTGTAACATCAAATTTAATTGTGCGTTGGACTTTTTAATGTCATTTTTTCAATGTCAACGAGAAACTTCTTTAGTCAAATGCTAAAATAGCATAATCCTAGTGCAACACATTCAAAACAAGAGAAACATATAATCATGGTAATTAATTATAATTTATAAATAGAAGAAATTAAAAGTTGTGGTACTTAGCCAAAATATCAGCTAGTTGAGTACATGATCGATGAGCCCAAACAATCTTTGCGTCTTCAAAACGTGTTTTCCAAATACTTTCTGAACGATCCAGTAAAAGATTTTGAATCAAAACATTGTTGTTCATCAGATTCACCAAGTTTTGACAATCTTCAAGTACCACCTTCATGTATCCTCGAGCCCGTACATTTTTGCATTGCAATAGTAATTCGAGTGTGTGATATACGCTAGATTTAAAATCTACACATTTGCCTCTAATTATATTTTAAAAGAATAATCTTTTTAAGCATTCAAATGGTTATACCTTATTCGGTGTTCTCTTTTCTTTATTTTAAGAGTATTTAAACTAGCCATTGGCAAATAAAAAAAGTATATAGATAGTCCAAATAAAATCTATAATTTACAGTTTTCATATACAAAATTTAAAATTTATCTAGATTTAGCATCGGATATCCGTTTTTCGCCAAAACGTCCACTAATCACAGAAGTGAGCATGCCTTCAAAAACATCTTAACAAAAGCCAAACTTACCAAGTGGGATGAACTCAAAGTTATTTATCTTAATTTTTATTAATATGACTAGTTTTTGTTATACTTTAAAATAGATAAAGAGACTTCGATGAAACTATATTTTGTTTTTCCACATAATGACATTTGTTACATTATTTGTTTTCAAACAAAATTCCAAAATTGTGAGTATGTGTGAAACAAAATGTTGTTCATTTGTATTTTTCTAAACAAAAAAAAAAGAAATAAAAGAAACACATAATTTCCTACCCCAGAAATATGGAGTATTAAGTATCATTAATGTATCAGGTACTATTAATTATCAACTGTCAAGTTCATAAAGAAAAAAAAGATACTTGTATCAAGCTCTTTGGTCAGCTGACAAGAAGAATATACGTGTATTATTATCCGAGATTATTGGACGCAAACAACATCCTCTTTGCGTTTAATTTGAACATTGTCGCCGACAACTTTATGGCATTGGCCCGTTTTTTTATGTCAACTCAATCGATCAAAAGACCATTCCCTCTTCGTGATTGGCTGAACAAATTCTTTCTTGACAAAAATTTACTGTTATCTATATAGTGGATTCATGTTTATAGACTTATAGTAACTAAATTTTCTTCCTCAAATCACTAAAAACTATTCCACGACCGTATATACTAATGTATGAAAAATTTTGTTAAAATTTGGCCCAAAATATATAATCTCATATGAAAATAGAAATGGTTTAATTTGCTAGCTTGATATTTATATTGATAGAAAATTTGAAAATTCTCTCGCAAATGTCTAGAGACATAGCAGACGCATTACACTTGTAACATTACGTTTTTTTTTTAAAAAGACTCTTACCATTCGTTAAACATACGCACCATTGCATAAACAATGATCCATTATAATTTCTTCTCTCTTTATGATTTCCTGCATTATCATTAACAGCGACGGCCTCGCCGACAACTCAAAGTGCCTGCTGTCGTCGTGATGGAACCCACAAGAGACGACGGCCTCGCACTCAGGCTCGAAGCTCTTGCATAAGTAGAGGGAGATCCAGCACCGGACTCGCGGAAATAAGCTCCGTTCAATAACATATCTCCTTCCGATCTCCAATTCCAATCTCTCCATTGGCTTTCGGGTGCATCTTCATGTTTAGTAACCTATATTATTAAATAACCACACGTAAATATATACATAAATGTCACATGAAAATAACCTATCCACATTATGTACCTCTTTATTAAATCGGGTGTTAGGAGCGAGAAATCTATTGCCTTGGCTGTATATCGTTGGAGAAGCACTTCCACCGATTGCATACATTTCCCAGTGAGTATAATCATTGTTCACTACATGGAAATATCCATGCCTACACCTGTTTAATTATTATAACCAAAACCCTAAATATTAGCATTTTCCTTCGACTTTTATGGTTTAACAATTGAAAGAATGTTCTCTTAGTTTTCTCAAATTTCTCATATTAATAATTTAGTAATTTTTTTCATCCATGTATATATCTCCCTAGATCCAATGTACGAATCTACAAAACGTCAATAATAAGTTTTCGAAACATATTCACTCGCTTAAAACCAACATGTATATAACGAATGACCGACACTTGTTTCTTTTAATGGTGTATCCATTTCAATTCGTATCTTATTCCATGAAATAAATCTTCTTTATAGCGATGTGATCGATCCATCGTGGTTTAAAAAGTCTCATTCTGCTTTTGTTGACTTATTCTTACTCTATAGTCTCTAAAGTCAAGATTTCACACTGAAACTATTCTTTTTGCGCATGCTTCGCAAGTTCGCATGCAAGCCTACTAGATATATATGTATCTAACTATCTATTGATACATATGTGTACGCGCAATGAGGGGGTAAAAGAGTAATTTACTCACCGTGGCATTCTTTGAACGAGTCCTTCTCCGAAATGGTTAAACGCAATTGTGACTTGCATGTTCTTGTCCTGCGTGTAACTATCACTATGCCCTAAAAGCATGACCTTGTCATGGTGCGTCATGTGATTGTTCGATATGGTTATAGCCGTTGAACCATGTATAGCGTCTATGAGTCCATCATCGCAGTTCGACAACGAGCAATGGTCAATCCACACGTGTTTCCCTCCAAATATCGCCACGGCGTCTCCATCGGATGGGATATACAACCCGGTGTGATGTGGCTCATCTTTAATTATGCCACCTAATTAAAAACATAACATTCGTAACATGTTTTATGTTTTACAACATTTTGCCTCTATTATATTAATATTAAACATCTATTAAATATTTGAAGTCTTTAAATTTGACTCACCTGATCCTGGTTTGCAGTCATGGATGTTAATGCCATGAATGATAATGTTAGTTGCATAGTGTATCTTCAAGCATGGTCCATTAGTTATGTGAACACTCGAGCCTCTACCATCAATGGTCTTGAAAGATGTGATGATAAGTTCTTTATTGAGCCTAATGACCATATCTCTCTTGAAAATGATCCATAATGGTTCTTCTTGTGTGACTGCATATCTTAGAGTTCCGGGTCTAGGGTTTACTGGATCGTCGTTGGCCGGATCTGTAACTACATAGATTCGACCATCACGGCCTCCGATAGCGTTTTTGCCAAACCCAATGGCACAATCTGCTAACCGTTGGCGGTTTGTTTCCCAATTCGGGTCACACCGCCAACAATCGTCAATAGGATTTCCGGTTCTGCAAGATAGGTAGGCCAAACTCCTCCTTGACGCATTGAATACACTTCTACAAATGAGAGAGAACAAAATTCTTAATAATTAAAAAACTGATTCTGTTATTAAATGTGAGGATAAAAAGTGTACGGTTGAAAAAGAAAAAGAATTAAATGTGAACAGATTATGTTGGTTGGAGAAAAAATGTTGGACACAATTGGCATATATATTCACTAGCTAGTTTAACTTTAAAGAAATTACAAACAGTAGTTTACATAAAGTCCTTTCATGGGAAAATATATTGTGAACCATTGTTAAGTTTAGTTTTTTTGGTAAAGGTTTTTTTTTTTAATTTAAAGTTTAGCTTACAAAACCTATAGTAACAATTGAACCTAAATAATGTAAGACATTGTTATGGAACTAAATGCTGCATTTTATTCGTATATCGGTATATATACTTAAATGTATCACTTATTACTAAAAAAGCAATATTGTTAAATCAAACTTGAAACTATCATATTCAAAATTTACTTTTTTACGTACCTGTTAACTTCATCAACTACTAGATTTGGATCTTGAACATGAGCCGACGAACTCGAAGAAAATGCAATTGTGTTACCGATTACTAGGAGAAGTAGAAAAGCGTAAGCAAAATGATTATTAGAATACGAAGACATTATTCTAAATGTAGATTGAGAGAAAATATCATAAAAAGAGAGAAGTTTTGTGTTGAAGCTTGTTATTGTCGAAAAGTATTTAAAGAGGAAGAAGAGAGAGTTCCGGGAGTGAAGGCGTGATTTATTTTTAAATTATTATTGTGAGATATTATATAGTTTTTATTAAATTTACTATGGGACCTACGTTATCGTAATTTCAGGTGATCATATAACAAACGGTTAATGTTGTGAAACCGTTAATTGGGTTTAGTTGTCAAAAGTATTTGCTTAAAGTCAACCTAATTGACCTCGAACGATGCCGTTTTTGTAGTTCTTCAATTTTCTCCCTCACAATTTCATTCAAAGAAACAAAATCACTTCATCAAACGAAATGATGTATATGTAAAAGTAAAACCTACTAACCGATAATTGAGCATGGTAGTCAAAAGTAACTGCCTAAAGTCAATTTTTTTGACATTGAGAACGATGCCGTTTTCTTGCTGTTTTATTTTCTTTGCATTTTACATTCAAAGAACAATTTGTTTGTGACATGATACATGCTTCGTGATTACATCATATATTTTGCTTATGAAGTGTTGTTGAGGGAATAAAAGCCAATCTAACTAAGAAAGGATCATTCTCGGAAGCCTTCGACGGAAGATGATGATCAAGTGCAAAGTCGAGATAACGATATCCTCCAACTAGACAAATCGCAAACTATATGTTCCTTCCAAAGCAGTTGTTCTGACATACTCCATTTTCTTTTAGGATGTTTAGTATTTACAAGCAATGTGACTGATTCTCTTTATTGATAAAAAGGACTATCGCTTGCATAAAAAGGATGAGAAATGAAGGACCGAGAACTCGAGCAACCTTTGTCTCGAGAAGCGTTTTATTCGACGTTCTTAATACTAGCGATAAGTGCTTTCACACAAAAAATCTCTTTGAGGAAGGCCTCTTTGCATATAAATGTTCTTGTGATTTGATCTCTAGGTTTTCCATTAATTAATACCATAATTAAGATTGATTTAATACACCACATCATTTATATATGCGATTTACTTCTTCAAACCTTTGTCTTCTATAGTTGCGTATAATTTTATGATTTTGTCCTATCCACTATAGTCATTGTTCTTCTTCCATTTAGCGATAAAAATAGAAAACCTTAAGCATTTTTTTCTTTCTATTTTATCTATCCTTTATGACCACTTTCTGAATCGTCTTTGATTATTGGAGACCCACTAAATAGCCCATAAGATTCTACCTTGTCCATCTCGTGAAGCCATTCTCTTTGTACAACCGTTTCCTTTTTCTATACTAATAATAGTTTGACCATTCGCAAAAATTACATGCTCTTCCTTCCTTTGTCATCTCAACCAAATGAATGATTTGATTTATGAACCCTACTTTCCTTCGGAAAAGAGAAATATCTGCCAAACCATGACAAGAAGTGATGATCCCAACCTCTATATTTTAGATTACATGGCTCGTGGTTTGGCTTTTTAAACTTTGCTAAATCTAATCTTTATTTCAAGCTAGAATCATATTCCGTCTCAGCACAATCCTTTTTTCTCGATTTTCTTCTTACCTCTTATATATGCGGCCTAGCTCCCGTGTCTCTCAAATGATCATAAATCATATTATAACAAGTAAAACAATTAGAAAATATCTCATCACCATTTTCAAATTAGATAATTCTTTTAAAATATATTGGCCCGTAATATATTTTTTAACATTTAACATTAACATTACCTTAACATTAATGTCATGCATTTCTACTGCGTCCAAGAACTTTTTCAATGACCCACAATGTTTTTCCACTCAATAGTGAAGGTGGATGTCCAAAATAAGATCCCATAATGTGAATAACCGAAGGATGCTCAAATCGAAACTATATGTTTCCATCTGAATTTAAATTGGTAGCCACAACTCGATGTTCTATCTTCTAAAGTTTTGGCCTCGCGATGAGCATTTTGGTATTCTCCTACCCGAAATATTCCGATATGATTTTCTTTCCAATCCTTTAAAACATAGATTACGAACCTTCTGTTATTATTTGATACGGACTATTAATTGAAGCAAATCAAACACAAACGCGATTGCGAATAGTGCCATTGAAGCAATTAATATTTGTTTATAGTGCCATTTGCCATGAAAGGATATATACACGTGATTTGTTAAAAGATAATTTATCAAGTATGGGCTTAAGTTTTAATTTCATGAGCATAGAGCCACAAAAAAAAATATGAGCCGGGCCTCCATGGGGAAAACATTTCTTAATTGCTCTAAAATCTTCGTACAATCTTGCATGTGATTTCTATCTTCTAGTTACTAGTTAGTTAACAGTTTAACACACGACCATCGAGAGTTTTCTGAATTTAATTTTGGGAAATAAAAGTTAAACATCATGAATTGGAAAGTTGGTTTTAATCCAAAAAAGTAAAATTGTATACTGAAAACATCTACTATTATATAAGAATCTTATAATTCACTATATATTTCATGCATGAATTAATCCTTACGCACTGCAAACTATATGTGATCAAATACTACTGCGACACTTTTAAGTATTCAAATATGATTAGCTTGAGATTTGAGGTATGACGGATTAATAAATAGGTTTACAAATTTCAAATCATTTTCTCGTGAAAGTAACAATTCTTTATTTTATATTTTTCCTTGTATCATTAATTTAAAGTAATAAAAACCGTGCATGGTGGATAGAAAAAGACGAATCTCACAGCGGATTATTGCTAGACAACACGAGACACAGCTAGTTGTAATAATTCTGCAATTTGTGTATATAAAACTAATTAATCTGCCATATGGATTTTAAGCATTATAAAACTACCATTCCTTTGCTCGTTGCAAAACATTATAAAAATGACAAAAAGAAGAATCATTTGATAACGAACCGTTTTTTTTCTTTTGTCACAAACATAATCAACAAGTGTGCAATCATTAAACTCCACTAGGACGAAACCCGCGCTCCGCTGCGGGGTATTTTTTTTGTTATAAATTTGTTATATATATACGTACTTTAAGCATCGAATATTAGCTGAATTTACATATTAGTATTAGTTTTTATTATTTTGTTTCATAAAAACTATTGTATAATATTAATTCTCATCAATAACGATTCAAACAAAAGTGTAGTCTCTATATATATAAATATATAAGCAGCATTTTATATAAGAAAATCTGTGGATCTTGGTTCAAGAACTAATTTGTCAAATTTTACAATCTCAAAATCACAGCAAACGTTATGATTCCACAATAATAAACAAAAGCACCACTTCGCCAAACCGACATTCCATAAGACGTTACCATGTTATTACGTTATTGGTTTGGCATTAAATAAACTTAATTCTCTTGGTTTAGTTGGTTTTGACTCTCGGTTCAATAATCAATAAAAGCAAAGGCTTTAGAAACGGCATTAACAAAGTTTGCCTTTTCTATGTTTTTTCTCATATCACTTATTGAAACATTTTTTTCCTGAGATCCAATTTCTTGGCCATTCTTTGACGAAAATGTCTGTAATTTATCGCTTTTGGATGTTGAAAATGTTGATTTTGGAAATCTTTAGTTTTGGAGGTCTGCTCCCAGATCCGTACGATTTTATTGCCACTACAAAAAGCAAAAACACCATCGGTGGAGGGAATCCAGACGACGCTCTAAACACGATTAGACATTCAAGCTTCTGAACTTTCACCAACTCCAGTTTCTTATCCATCAATTTCAGCTCTAGAATCCAAATTAAGGAACTCGCTGAATCAATTTCAGCAGAGAAGCCTATAGATTCGACGAAAATATAAAAAATTGCTATATTAACCATGAAGGGCAGAATTAAGAGTGTCTTACTCAAATCAATGTTTCCAAAAATCAGATGGTGAATGGGTTGTGTGTCAATTTGTTCTTGAATCTGTGGATTCGGTGATGATAAATTGATTTATCTTCACCATACACCATAGTGAGCAGCTCTATATCTCTCTCGTCCTCGTTTGAGAAATCCCTCCTTTCGAATTTTGAATTGACTGATATAAAGATTGAGACTTGAAAATTGTTAATTAGGAAACATCAATGGCCTAACAGTTTCCATTGACAATGAAACATTCTTAAATCCAAAAAACACAGCAACAAAGATCAAATAAGAGTATAAGACAAAACTTTTTGTACAACTTCAGTATGAAATCTAAATCCAAATCAAACCCTTGAGAAATGTGGAGACTTACGAAGATGTGGAAGTTGGGAGTGAAGATGAGGAGACACAGCTCTTAAGTGTTTTGCAAGTCGAAGCCAACGAGCAGAGAGACGCAACGTCGAGTAGATACAATTAGAGCTTTGTATAAGATGTTGGGCTATTACTTTGGTTGGGCCTAGGTCTATGTTTATTTTTATATTTTTCTAGTGATGGAGAAAGAATGACATGGAAAAATAGAAAGTTATTACTGGCTGAGATATCTGAGCTGTATTAATCGAAATGTTTTCATTGGCTGACGATTTTAACGATGTGTCAAGCTGAGAACTGTCCAAAAAGCTGACGTGTCAAACCGGGAGAGACTCTTATTGTTTTTATTGTATTGATTTTATTTTAACACTAAAATTGCCAGTTGTATTAAAACAGAAGACCTATTTTTTGCTTTATATACTCCTCTCTACACTTTTTTTTTTTCTCAAAAATTTTATATCACAGGTGAAATATGTTATCGGAATACAAAGGCCGGCAGGACTTTAACCCCCAGAAACTAAGCCGGCATGACTCTAACCTCCAAAAACTGAGCCCCAAATACTGGAAAACAAACAAAAGAGAAAAACTAAAACTGAAAAGATCTAAACATGATTGAAATGATTTAACACAGAGATACAAATTCCTTTTTATCCGAGCCAACTGAGATCACAAAACTAGCGGAAAGTCGACGAAGGAGCTGACCACCATCTAGAAAGTCTCCGATCTACATGCCTTACTTGTTAATTAAGAGTCTTTAGAAGAAAAACTTTGGGATACCTTAGAAGGCGGGACGGTGGAACCTTGACCAAACTTGCAAAAACCGTCGGAATCGCCGGACCAGAAATGTCAACTAATGGACGTGAACCGGTAAAAGGACCCAAACCTAGGCGGATCTCACCCTAGATCCGTTTGTGGAAGTTTTATTTTGGATATTGTTCAGAAAGATATTGGTATTTACTAGGAACAAAATTTAAATTTTTCCATTAAATTTTTTTTTTTAAAATATTGTTAATTTTTTGGAAGAAATTTGACTATAAATATTTTAATTAGCATACTTAAGTAGTAAAAATAACTTCCCACATGAATATTTTACTAAGAAATTCAGATTTTTTTTAGTAAAAGAATTCCATTTCAAAACAAAAGACAGCCGTCACTACAGTGTCATTTTCTTAGTTTAATATCCGAACAATAAATACATACAGTAAAACCTCTATAAATTAATACTCTATAAATTAATAACCTTTCTAAGTTAATAAATTCTTCCGGTCCCGAGTTGGGACCAGTGTAAAATATGACATAAATCGATAAATTAATAAGATAATAATTTTTTTGAAAATCCCATATAAACATATGGTCCCATCTATATCATAAATTAATAATTGTATAAACTTATCAATATATATATATATATGTATATCTAACTTAATATATATATATATGCATATTTAACTTTTATATATATATATGATATAAATTTATATATGTCATATATGAATTACTATGATATATATTTAAAATATTTAATGAAATATGACTTATTATTCGAAAAAAGTTTGTGTTGTTTTTTAAAATTAATAATTGCTTTTAAAAAGATATTGCTTATAAAGAAAAAATTTATTTTTAGATATAATTTTTTTAAGAAATTACCAAATTAGTAAAATCTCTCTATAAATTAATAATTATTAATTTATCGATAAATTAATACCTCTCTAAATTAATAAAATTTCATGGTCCCAACATTATTAATTTATAGAGGTTTTACTGTATTTATCTGATCATATAGTAATAATAAATAAAGTAATCTCTTAACTGCAAATTTCAGCATTTTCATGAGGTCTCTTTTGATCTATATCGTTTGACCTCTTTCTATCTCTAAGTTTACATATTCGCTAATGCCTTGAGCTCAAGCATCCACCACAATTAGACAAGATAAGTAGAAAACAAAAAAGAAAAACATCCTTCTTCTGTTCTTCTTCTTCGGACAAAAAGGTCAGTTTTTTGCTTTTTGGTTCTCGTGCTTTGAATTTCTTAATTTGTTTATCGAGAAGAGAAACAGTTTCTTAACCGCAAATCTCTCTACTCAAACCCATGTGAGACTTTTAAAGCTGTATCAGAGAAAGATTTGTTTTTGTTTGTTAAAAGATTTTAAAAGACTTGTTGTGTTTTCGTAAATAAGAATAATCTCCAGCTCTTCTTTACTTAATTTTGAGTTTAATTCAATCCTCTGCTTCCATGACTTCTTATTGATAACCGAAGTTGCGATTTTTATAAATCTCAGGAAGGTGTTGACTGAATCTTGAGATGGGTTTGTGTTAAGTTCGTGAGTATAGTTGAAAGATTCAATTCAATTTCAATGGAGCCTCCACAGGGATTTCGAGCTACGTTGTTCCAATTCTTACTCTTCCTTCCTTATTTCATTGGATTGCTATTTCTGGGTTTCATCAAAGGTATGAACTTTAGAGTGAATCTTTACTTCAATTATAACATTTGTTTCTACTTTTGGTACTTAGATTTGATGATGGTCCTCTTTTAAGAATCATACACTTTTTGATTGTTTTAGTGTCACTAAAGGTCTAAACTTTTGATGAATGTTTCCTTCTTTAAGCCTAATATTTTCAGTTTATTCAGACAGATTTTATTAGGTTTTTTCTTTTGGTAAGAACATAACTCACCAGGATTTTGACTTCTTGTTTACATGGATGTTGACTTTTAGTTGGTTCCTTAATTGTTCTCCATGATGACTTTTCTTTCTTTGGTTAGGCCTCTTTCAATTTCATTGACTATGTGGACACTAAAGAGCAAATTGAGTTCCTGAAAGTTAAACTCATGCATTTTGATTTTGTTTAGGCTCTGTTTTATCTTTTAGTATTTTTGTCATTGAAACTAATGAACTTGTTCATTAAAGATTCACTGGATTTGTTTTCTGATCTGAAAGACTTTTTCTTTGTTGCTTAGGTATCGTTTTGTGCCCACTCGTATGTCTCGTTGTGACTATAGGCAACTCCGCGGTCATACTGAGTCTTCTACCCGTTCACATCGTTTGGACTTTCTATTCAATCGTGAGGTAACTCACTCCTCAATTCATTTGGTAATGTCTCTTTACAAGACATTCTAATTTTGGTTCGTCTAACACGCAGTGCCAAACAAGTAGGACCAATCTTGAAGATTTTTCTATGCTTATGTCTTCCTGCTGTCATCATTCTCTGGCCTATTGTTGGTATTTTAGGGAGTGTTTTGGGAGGAGTTTTATATGGTTTTCTCTCCCCAATTTTCGCCACTTTTGATGCTGTTGGTGAAGGCAAGCCTTACCAGTTTTTCCATTGCTTTTATGATGGAACTTGGAGCACCATCCAACGCAGCTTCACCGTTGTCCGGGATTTTAAAGATGTTTGCTTTCACTCATACTTCTCACTTATGGATGAGCTTAAACAAAGCTGCCCGGATCGCAAACATTATGAAATAAGGTATATATAATATACTCATTCTTAGCTCCCTTGTGAAACTGATCATTCGATAGTTCCTTACATCCTTTATCTATTCTCAGGCTACTTCAACTTCCAGGGGCTTTGGTAGTTTCAGTTCTCGGGGTTCTTGTTGATTTCCCGGTGATCTCACTTGTAGCCATATGCAAAAGCCCTTACATGCTGTTCAAAGGATGGCACCGTTTGTTTCACGATCTAATTGGACGGGAAGGTCCATTCTTGGAGACAATGTGTGTCCCCATTGCAGGCCTCGCCATCTTACTCTGGCCTTTGGCTGTCACGGGCGCGGTTATTGGATCAGTTGTCTCTAGTATCTTCCTTGGTGCTTATGCAGGAGTAGTCTCATATCAGGAATCATCGTTTTACTATGGACTCTGCTTCATAGTTGCATCTGTGTCCATTTACGACGAGTATAGCACCGATATACTTGACTTGCCTGAAGGATCTTGTTTTCCAAGGCCGAAATATCGAAGAGAGGAAGAGGAACCAACACCTTTTTCTGGTCCTATACCAAGATTAGGCTCTGTCAAGAACGCGTCATCGATGAGAGCAGGATCAGTCAGAGTCCCTATGATTGATATTAAGCCTCTAGATGTAAGCACAAGCCTATATTCACTAAACCCAATTTGAAAAATCAGTCTTTTGTCGTTTTTGACTTTGATGTCTGTATGCAGCTGTTGAATGAGCTCTTTGTGGAATGTAGAAGATTTGGAGAAATTTTGGCGACAAAAGGACTGATAAATTCGAAAGATATCGAAGAAGCGAGATCTAGTAAAGGCAGCCAAGTGATCAGCGTCGGTTTACCGGCTTATGGACTTCTTCATGAGATTCTGCGCTCCGTCAAAGCCAATTCTTCCGGCTTGTTACTAAGTAAATAATCACTCTTTTTTATATTTTTTCATATAGATTATGACCATAACCACATCCCTACTTGCTTGATTTATCAAGAAACCAACAAAACCGAGCAAAGGACAGATTTTTATATGTCTGCATGTTTGTGTAGGTGACGGTGTAACTGAAATAACTGTCATGAACCGACCAAAAGACGTCTTCTTTGATTGGTTTCTGCATCCGTTTTTGATACTAAAGGAGCAAATGAAAGCTACAAACTTGTCCGAGGAAGAAGAAGAGTACCTCGGAAGATTAGTCTTGCTATTTGGAGATCCAGAGAGGCTAAAGAGTTCGAATGCCATTTCCGCATCTCCTCCTCTCACCGAGCGTAAAAGAGCCGAACTCGATGCCTTTGCTCGCAGGTAAAAACCGCCTTCAAGTTTCGATTATTTTCGAACAATTTAGTTTTGTTTTTTTTCTTAACAAAAGTTCCATGTCTTTGTGTGTTTTATTAGGATGCAAGGGCTAACGAAAACGGTTTCAAGATATCCAACATTTCGTAGACATTTTGTGGCATTAGTGAAGAAACTATCGGAGGATTTGGACCTAAAAGACGACTATTCGGTTAAGGGCGAATCTATAACAGAACCGCCAGCTCCGGTTAAGATCATTTCGCGGATATTCAGTCAGAGATCGTTCAGAAGAAAAGGAAGTGTCAATGGATCCGATCAAGAATCGCAAAAGGGTGTCTCACGGAATGTAGATATCGTTTAAACATGGGACGTGTGGTGTGGATATTTGAAACTTAAAAAGCCTTTGGTTCTTTGCTCCATAAACTTGTCATTCCTTGTAAAGATTTATATCAGACGTTTTTTTGTTTTATTTATAGAACAGTGTATGTTTTCGTTTATGAATCTGTTCATAATTTTTGTTTTTTAACGTTAAAACAACATTAAGTATGATAAGGAAGATTTTGTCAAATCATCTTCATCTTCTTCTTTTGTTGTCCCTCGTTTGTTTCCATTGTTGCAATAGCTCAGTATTTTCTTGGTCTTGAAATAGCAAGGTCTGCAGTAGGTATCTCTCTTTGTCAGAGAAAATATGCTATTGAACTTCTTGACTCTGCTAGAGTGTTAGGATGCAAGCCCTCATCGATTCCTATGGAACCAAATAAAAAATTAATGTCTCAAGATGATGGTGAACTTTATGACAATCCCGAGAGTTACAGAAGCATTGTTGGTAAACTCATCTACTTGACAATAACACGACCATATATATGTTTTGCTGTTGGAAAATTGGCTCAATACACTGGCGCTCCTAGAGTTTCTCATCACCGTGCAGTGCTCAAGCTTCTTGCTTATATTAAAGGAACTATCGGTCAAGGACTGTTCTATTCTTCAGATCCAAACATGGAACTAAAAGCCTTTGCAGATGCTGATCTTAGTGCTTGTCCAGATTCAAGGCGCTCTGTTTCAGGCTACTGTATTTTTCTTGGGGATTCCCTTATTGCATGGAAATCCAAGAAGCAGGAAGTGGTTTCTCGGTCTTCTGCAGAATCAGAATATAGGGCTATGGCCTTGGTAGTGTGTGAAATTCTTTGGATTCGGAGCTTGCTGGAAGATCTACATATGCCTCCATCTTCTTCAACACTTCTATATTGTGATAATCAAGCAGCAATGCATATTGCAAATAACCCGGTGTTTCATGAGAGAACGAAACATATAGAGCGAGGCTGTCACATGGTAAGAGACAGAGTGACTGATGGTACTCTCACGCTTGTACATATCCGGACAGAATGTCAGGTTGCAGATATTTTAACTAAAGCTTTGTATCCTGGTCAGTTCCAAGTTCTAGTGGGTAAGCTTGGCATTTCAAACATTTTCATGCCAGCTTAAAGGGGACTATCAGAGTATATGCAGTACCGTGTAGAAGAAGCAACAAGGAAGGAGAGCTTAACAGAATATACTTCTTCTGTTACTTCATAAACAGAATATTAACATAGTTGATGACTCATTTGTATAGTAAAATATCTCCTTGTGTAGATAAATATCTTAGCTTAGTATATAAGTCAATTGTACAACTACACAAATGTTTAATGAGAATTCTAGAATGTTTTACAATTCTATTATATTTCTTAATATAGTCATCCCAATATTTAGAGATGATGGTAGCACTTAGCAGAAATATTGGTGAAACTTCCCATAAAAAGCATTACCATAATCAAAAACTGAACTAATTGCATTTTGGCTCCCATTGAAAGGGACTTAAACAAAAAAAGAAAAGAAAGGGACTTATATCAAAAACTGCACAACGTGTTCCTCGTATCTTACGAAACGGGACGCAGTTCTTCTCGTCCTCTCCTCTTTTTGCACTAGATGCAAATATCCAATCAAACAAAGCCACGTGTATTACACTTTTCGAGACGAGCACGCGCCTTTGAAAATATCCAGTGGTGTGATCGCCACGATTAACCTTAAGTCGGTATCCATAACGAACGGTCACAAAGATTCAAAACATTACGTGTTCAAAAGATCTACGGCTCTTATACGTAGACGAACCTAAGCCTCACATTTACAAATATGCACACGTAGCTAATCTCCTGTGTCTCTATATATTTATATTTATATTCCGTAAATCGTCAATTTCGGCTAATTTCAAGTTATTAGAAATTAATTATCTTCTGAAAAATATAAATACTTAATTAATTTTTAGCCATTTTCAGATTTCTCCGAGAGAAAAAAAATGGCGTCTGGTTTGATCGGAAGATTGGTTGGAACGAAACCGTCGAAATTAGCCACGGCGGCGAGGTTAATTCCGGCGAGATGGACCTCTACGGGAGCGGAGGCGGAAACAAAAGCTTCGTCTGGCGGCGGAAGAGGATCGAACTTGAAGACTTTTCAGATCTATCGATGGAATCCAGATAATCCAGGGAAGCCAGAGCTTAAAGATTACCAGGTCGATCTCAAGGATTGTGGTCCAATGGTTTTAGATGCTTTGATTAAGATCAAAAACGAAATGGATCCATCGCTTACCTTCCGTAGATCGTGCCGTGAAGGGATCTGTGGTTCATGTGCTATGAACATTGATGGATGTAATGGACTTGCTTGTTTAACGAAGATTGAAAATGGATCATCGGGGACGACGATTACACCGTTACCACATATGTTTGTGATTAAAGATCTTGTGGTTGATATGACTAATTTTTATAATCAGTATAAGAGTATTGAACCGTGGTTGAAGAGGAAGACACCAGCTTCTGTTCCTGCGAAGGAGATTTTGCAGAGTAAGAAGGATAGAGCTAAGCTTGATGGGATGTATGAGTGTATTCTTTGTGCTTGTTGTAGCACATCTTGTCCTAGTTACTGGTGGAATCCTGAGTCTTACCTTGGTCCAGCTGCTTTGCTACATGCTAATAGGTAAGTGGAACATAGATAGTGTTGATGATTGTTTGGAGAATTTGTTTGTTGATTATGGATATAGAAGTTGGATTTTTTTGGGGGAATTGGTTGCAAATTGAAGGACTAGGAAGCTTTAATCTTGGAATCTTCGTATATCTTGTTGTTAGCTGCATTGATTCCACAGATATTGTTCATTCAAGTCTATTTTGCTGTATTGGTAAGTGAAAAATGATTGTTTGGAGAATTGTTTTGTTGAAAGATATAGAAGTTGGCTTTTTGGGGAATTGAATTCAAATTGTAGGACTATGAAACGATTTATCTTGGAGTCTGCTTTCAGATTTTGCATGGATGGTTGGGAAGATTTGTATATCTTGTTGTTTAGCTGCATTGGTTTTCATTAAAGTCTATTTTTGGCGGGAAGTGGTTGCATATTGTAGGACTAGGAACCTTTGCTCTTGGAATCTGCTTTCAGAGTTTGAATTGATGGAAAAGATTAATTTCACTTATTTGGTTCTTCACTTCTGTATCACTGCCTGAATTGGTGAAGTTGATCTATGTCTGGGGAATTCGATAAAGTTTTGATCTTTCGATGTGTTTGTAACAAGAGACTTGTTCATATGTTCAGGTGGATAAGCGACAGTCGTGATGAGTACACTAAGGAAAGACTTGAAGCTGTTGATGACGAGTTCAAGCTTTACCGTTGCCATACAATCTTGAACTGTGCTCGTGCCTGTCCAAAGGGTTTGAACCCAGGAAAACAGATCGCACACATCAAGCAACTTCAACGTTGAAACAGCTAAGTTTGTGTGAGGTACTCGTTGGGAAAATCATCACTCTTAACGTTTGAAGCTAATAATCTTCACAAAACCTTCGAAATTTTCATTTCATTCTTGTACTGTTGTTGCCAAATATTAGCGCCTTAAAAAAACTCTTTTGCAAGTCTTCCCAAGTAGATGAGCTTTGTGGTTGTATCTTGCTGAAAATCTCTTATTTAAGTAATAAAACTCGAGTAAACTTAAACCTCATCTACTTACCATCTACTCTTTTTGTGTTCCATGTGCATTGGCTTTATATAAAAACATTTCATGTACTTGTGTCTCTTCCTTGTTTAAGCATGAACACAAGGATCACATCACCAATTTGGTTGTTCAACTTCCTTGATATATGCTTGACTGCATAAGTAAAACTGCACAAGTACAGACACAACAAATAAGAAAGATGACACCGGCAACACTAGCCATATTCTTTGTCTCTTTGGTCATTATTGGAACAGCAACCGATGTTGCTCCAGCAACCAAACAACAGTCTGAGTTCTTTCCGAGTTTGCAGGAGCATGAGAAGTCTCTATTTGTTACTGTGGAAGGTACCATAGCTTCGAATACTAGTTCTAGAAAGTAGAAACAAAGATAATTTTTTTACTATGGAAGGTACCATTGCTTTTTGTTGTTGTTCTTTATCTGCAGGCTGCAACAACCATTGCCTAACAGCTTGCTGTGACTGCAACATAGAGATACAGCCTCCCGTTTGCGCTCAGTGTTGCCCGATTTGAGCCTTGAACTCCATATGTTCATGTATGTTTGAAGACTCGAGACAAAATTGTGGTTTTATTAGTGAAACAGAGGAAGCTAATGTGTTTTTTTTAATCACCAAAAACAGAAATCACAAATAGAGAGATATCAGAATCTACGAATTTTAAAAACAAACAAATTTTCGCAATCTGTTCATCGAATAAAATTATGAACAGATCCAAATATCAAACGACGACGTAAGATGGAATACCTCTGTCTCAGTCAGAGTCTTTGAGTCACTACACCGTTACACACCATCATAAAAGTGACCCAAATTGACACGTCATCATAAATTTCCCACGTGTAGTATCCTCGACAACTGAGAGTCTCATTCTGATTGGTTACTTAACATACGACGCGGATCGCAAAGATACAAACAATCTTAACCGTTGATAAGCAAAAAGATCTAACGGACCAAATTCTCTCTTCTTTGAGTATAAAAACACATCCCAATCTCACACTCTGTAAATCAATCAAACACAATCTCAACAATCAAAAGTTTCTCAACAATCAAAAGTTTCAATTTTTCATTCGTAAGAATTCGCAAAATGGCTAGAACAAAGCAAACAGCTAGAAAATCCACCGGAGGAAAAGCACCAAGGAAGCAACTAGCGACAAAAGCAGCAAGAAAATCAGCTCCAGCCACCGGAGGAGTGAAGAAGCCACACAGATTCCGTCCAGGAACAGTAGCGTTAAGAGAAATCAGGAAGTATCAAAAAAGCACCGAGCTTTTGATCCGTAAGCTTCCTTTCCAGAGATTGGTTCGTGAGATAGCTCAAGATTTCAAGACGGATCTGAGGTTTCAGAGTAGTGCTGTTGCAGCTCTTCAAGAAGCAGCTGAAGCTTATTTGGTTGGTTTGTTTGAAGATACTAATCTTTGTGCTATTCATGCTAAGAGGGTTACCATTATGCCTAAGGATATTCAACTTGCGAGGAGGATTAGAGGTGAGAGAGCTTAAGATATGATGAAGAAGAAGAATGGTTTATTTATAGATTAGCTACTTTGTGTTTTATGTGTTTTGTAGTCTTTTGTTCAGAAGTGTCTTCCAGATGTTCGATGAAATGCCCAAATGAAAATTTAATCTACTTTCAGTTTAGTCTTTTGCTAATTGGTAAATCATTATCTGATTAGATTTGCAATTAACTTAGTGAACCAATAATCATGAGTGAATGATTGATTCCGAACTCTGTTGTGGGAGAATGTTTATTGCCTTGCATAATACTCATTCTTGGCTTTGAAGTCAGATTTTTGTTTCAGGCTTTATTGTCTGCATTGCAATTGTCATTTTGGTTATAACTTGTGTCAAATGGTTCTTCAATCAAATGGTTCTGCAATTGTCAGTTTCTCTTCTCTTTGTTGATCAAAATCCTAAAAAAAACTCTCTTACAGAATCCGGTGAATTTCTATGGAAAAACTCTTCTTTCACTGGTGAGAATTTAAAACACTGAATCATAGAGAATCAAACTTAAAGAAAGTCTCAATCATTTAACATTTTCACTTTATCTATATAAACAACTCATTGACTTGAGTCAAGCTACTAAGTATTAAAAGTCACTTGACCCACAAGCTACTCTTTGTCATTGAAACGTAAACCCCGTTCCGTTAGTTCAAGAACAGACCAAGTGAATAACTGTCGTGTACAGCCATGATATCATCGGAAAAGAGACCACAAACGCGTCTCAGCCGATTGTGTCTCTCCCACCGCAAGATTCTCTCGTTACCGAGGCCGCTTCTCTGCGGACAAGTGGCCCGGGGACTTTCCTGGGTCGGAGCTTAGACAAGCCCATGTGACCCATTCACTTAAGTATATATAGAAACATGATATTGTTCAAACACCAATGTGGGATATTAAGTGACTTTAAAGTTTGAATTACACCGTATAAACTGATATTTGTTCTTGGTTCTTAGCGTGTGATCAAACTTAAAAGAATTAGACTAATTGTTTGATGGGGTGAGCCAAGCCCGTGCTTTAGTGCAACGCATGGGCGACTCGTAAGAACCCAGATAGCAAGCTATCTTAATGGGCTCTTCCCCTTAAAAAATAGAGTTAATATCGTGTGAGCCGATGACTCACATATCAGATATTAAACTGATAAGAACAGATACTACACTTGATCTTAGCCAAAAGGCCGAGAAAGGTATGAATTGAAAGTTGGGCTTAGACCTCTTTTTATACTTAAGAGAAAGTGAACTATGTTTATGTAGCTAACGATGTGGGACAAAAATAAACAACCTCTTAGCAACTTTAAGCAAACTCTCTTCTTGTGTCAAGTGTCAACACTACTTGTTTTATCGATTCTTCCTCACAATAAGTTTAAGAGACTGAATCATAGAGAATCAAAGTTTTTTAAAAAGGATTTTCAAGATCCTTAGATTATCCTTCAGTGAATATAAAACATAAACTATAATGTCAAAACCTCAAGTTCTAATTTCATGTTCTGTTTTTTTTTTTTTGTAGTTGCAAAATAAAGAAATCATCAATTATTTAAGACCTGCACGTTATCTATAACAACAACTCATTGACTTAACCCACAAACTACTCTTGTTGTTGGATGTTACGTTTTGACTCCATTAAAGCTCTTCTTGGCTTATATATCCTTCAAGCTAACTTCCAAATTCGAAAAATCTCTCTCTTTCTTCTTTCTTTAAAAATCGACGGTTGAGATGAGACGACAAGGTCGGCAACATGGTATAGTCAGAAGTTACCGGATTCTTCCACCACCGCTTAACACAAGACCGGTCACCTCTTTGACTTCATCACCTCAAACCTCTGAGTTATTAACCACATTGCCATCGAAACCAACCAAAGCTCAGAGGAAAGTGTGGCCTGGTCAAGTGCATTGGGTGAGATCAAACGACATTGCTTCATCAAGCTACAAACTGCTGACGTGGCGGGTCAAGACAGAACCTGTTTTGAATCTCCCTAGTTTCTTGGATCCTAACCATTGTGAAGACATTGTAGAAGAAGAAGAAGCTGGACTTGAAACGGTGAAGACAGAGCATAATGGAGATAACAGCGAGAAAGAAGATGGTGGGTCTCATGATTATGATGAAAGTATGAGTTTTTACGATGTGGGGATGATGATGATGGAACATGTGTTAGATGACAATGAAGAAGAAGATGGTTGGTGTTTGGTCTAATGATGTCTCCTTCACATGGATCAGCTTTTTCTTTTTCTTTTGTGAATGTTACTTTGATTATTTTACATTATCTTTTTGTGTAAAGTGAATAGCTTTATCAACAACAAACCAATTCAAGATTAAGATCAGATCAAATCAAGAAACTGGAGTTGTTGTTCTTTCATTACATAGTAAGACAGATAACAAAGATTTAAAGAGAACAAAACAAAGGAAGCTATTTCCTATTGCACTCGGACTCTTTTCCAAACTGGTGAGAAAAGAGTATAATCGGTGCCATCTACATAACGATATTGTAGTGTTTTTTATCACTAAAGCTTTGATCGAACCATCGAGTTTGTGACTCGAAATCGATCTTTTTATTCTCCCGATTGCCATTTGCAGACTGTAACGTATTCAAAGCTGTGTTCTTTAAGCTTCTTTGGCTATCTTATGATTACTCTCTTACAGTCTTTGGCTTCAAACAAAGACACAGAAACTGCTTCTTCTTCTCCGTCTTTCTCTGCGCGAAAAGAAAAGCAACCGAGAAATGAGAAACATCATCTTTTCATGTCACCAACGAGATTTCAATGGAAAACAAAATCTTACCTTATCCCTGCTCTGATTCTGATCTTGAGTTTTAGAATTACTTATGAAACAACTGTTTGTTTAACAAAGAAACAACATCTAATCAAAACCAGTTAGAACAATGCAAGAAAGAAAGAAAACACACAAGACTCTGACTTATACCTCAAGAGCCCGAATCTCTGGCGGTGAACCGGTTTTTCTTCTAACTGAGTTATCGGTCTTTCGCTGTTACATAAACAAACAATCAGAAAAGATTGTTATTTTCAATCAAGATCTACCAAATCACAAACTATTTACCTTCTCTTCTCAGTTAAAGATATCTCATCCAAAGACTTCCGAGGGATTGTTTTCTCGAGAGACAATCTAAACACCGGTCTATTCTTAGTAATCGATTTCCTCTGTTGTTTCTCCTTTTCACCAACAGACCAATCCTCCTTCAACAACTCTTCCTCTACCTTCTTCACCTCCTTATCATCATCACCAAACATCACATTTTCCAATTCATCAGTCACATCATGATCATCAATCTGAAAACTGTTTCTTTCACATCCTTCTTCACCATCCTTAACCTCTTGCTGATACCTATTCACCGGAGGAGGAGGAGGAGGAGGTTGTGTTTCCAAAGTATGAAGCAAAACTTCAGCAGGAGTAACAGTTGGTTGTTCTTCAGTTGCAGCTTTCTTAGCTTCAGCTATTCTCTTGTAATGAGCTTCAAAGAAAGCTTTCTTCTGTGCAACAGATCCAGGACGTGAGTATTTCTCTGCTTCTTCAACATACTTCTTATGTGAAAAGCTTGACCATTTTCCCCATTCTAGATTCTCTGTCATAAATTTCCCAAATGATATTGATTGACTTAACGCATGAATCGTATTCTCCTGCAACAATCCAACACACATAAACAACAAAGCTTTCAGATTCAAATCCAAATTTATAAACTTTCCATAAGAATTTGATCACTGTATCAATAAGAAACTAATCTGTTCTATATTTAGTGTTAAAAATCGAAACTTTATGCTCAATTTTCCGGGAAAATCCAAGAGAGAAAATTTCCATTAAGAGGAAAAAACCCAAAACCGAAATAACTTTAAAAAATCAAAATTTTTTTTGTGGGTATTCATCAAAACATAGAACAAGCCCAGTTTCCGTTGAATTTTCCCGGAAAATTCTCGAGACAAAATCACAAAAACTTTCCTAGACGAAGAGAGAAAATTTCCATTAGGAGAAAAAATCCCAAAAGAGAAATAACTTAAAGGTCAAATTTTTCTTTATGGGTATTCATCAAAATCATAGAACAAGTCCAGTTTCCGTCGAATTTTCCCGGAAAATTTATGGTAACAAATCAGAAAAATTTTCCGGGAAAATTTATGGAGGAATCAATAAAATCGTAAGAACAAAAATAAAAAAAAAACAAACCTCATGAGAATCGTTACGAGTAATAGGAGCTGCGAAAGAATAAGAATGAACCAGAACTGCAGATTCACCCATTTTCAACCTCAAGATCAAACAAAATTCTAAAAAAAAACCCAGAAAATGGAAAAAAAGGAAGCTTTTTTAATTTCAGCTGGAGATTTTTTTTTCTTTTGTGTGGAGAGTGTATTTCTCGTCAACCTAACGTCTCTGGGATTCAAAATTCGAAAGAGAAGAAGAAAAGTTTCTGTGTTGTCGTTGAAAAGAAGTGAGATTTTCTCTCAAGAAGCTAAAACACATGTATGTGTATGTGGTGGGGAAACATCTCAAAGAATATATTTAGAATCTGGGTCCCACGAACTAGGAGATCAAGAAGATAAAATCAAACACACAAATATTATTAATAATTTGAAGAAGAAAAAAAATAATTCAGAGTTTTTTTTTTAGAGGATAGGAATGAAAATGAAATTATAAGAAAAAAACTGCGAAGAAAAATGAATTTTATGATAATGTGGTTCGTTGAAATTGAAGTGGTTGAGAATTGAAGCGAAAGGGAAAAAAAAAGTTTTGATTTTTTCTTGTGGGGAAAGAAAAAAATGAGAAATTCTGGAAACCGATTCTGAGTTTTTTAAGATTTATATATTTCTTTTTTGAGTTATGAAACGTTTATTTTAAGCTATATTTGGAATGTTATTTAATTAAAAGAAGAACAAATCAATGGGATAATTACTTTGTTTTTGAGAAATTGGGGAAGTAATTTAAATTTAATCCAGAATTTCTTAATTGTAAATGAAAACGTTACTTATGTTTATGTGTATGTTTGTTATGAGGACATGTTATTACTAGAATGTCATTAAGACAATATATACCTTTACAGATTTTTTTGGATTCATTTTCGTCAGCCAAATTTCATTTTATTTAGGTTATTTGAAGATGTTACGAAAATAGATTTTATTCCATGTATATTGTGAGGAATTTTGAGATTTTCAAATATATACACCAATAAACAACACTAAAGTGTTCTCTCAAGTGTGGAAAATATAATGCGAAAATAATAGAACACATTAAATGATTAGAATAATAAAGTTTATCAAACGTAATGAAAATGGACAGATTTGATGACATGATTCTAGAAAAAAAATTACAGCATCATGTTTTGTTTTTTTTATTAGTATCGTCTAAAACGTCTAGATTTTATATTTACCAAATTGTTGAAACTTGAAGACATAAGAGCTTATCACAAATACTTTACCTATCTGTATTTATTTTTTTTTTTTTTATTTTTGGCACAAACTTTACCTATCTGTATAAAATACATTTTTACACAATTTTTAACGGAAAAATGTTAGAAAATAACTGCCCGATTTTGTTACATTTTTGTTAATTTCTCGCCACGTCGTTAAATCGTCGACGAAAATTAACGGTTTCGTCAAGACATTTAACAACAAAACTAATTTGGTTCCATCAACAAAAGCAGGTAAATAAAATGCAAAATTAATTAAAAAATTGGAGATTTTTGCAATCGGCAAGTTGGTGCTTTTTTTAACCATTTTTGAAAGTTGGAGACTTTTTTGATATTTTTATTGAAATAAAATTTATTGCTAAAAAATTTATTTAAGAGAATGAACCAAGAATTTAAAAAACTTGGCAATTATATTTATTTGATTATGTATAATATAGAGAAGAAATATAGTTATAAATCGTCTTATCTATAACACAAAATTGTATTTTTTAAGAACGTAAACAATTGTCAAACTATTATATAATAACATTAATTTTGTATTAGTGCAAACAATAGGATATTTGTATCTATACAAATTGAAATCAGTACAATTTGATGGTTCTTTTTTTTTGGACAAATTTTTGATGGTTCTTTAGTTTTCTTGATATTTGATATTCAAATGCTTTGGACAAATCTATTTAAAATGGTTGTTTCCAAGAAGATATTTTTTTGTCAACGATTTTGTATCTCGTCGAGGAAAGATCAAGAATTCACAATTAGTGCTAGTAATTCTATTTTGTATTGGAAAGATAAATAAAATCCGTTATATATTAATTGAGAAGCATTTAAAAAAAATAACCTTATCTTCATGTGTGATTAACAAAAATGCAATGCTGACGTGTCGTTCTTATAGAGCTTCTCAATTCATTTAGTTAAAAACCCAACATTTATTAAGATGTTTACAGATTTTGCCATTAGTTTTACTTATATTTATTTTTTCTACTTAATTTATTTTTTTTATTTTACTCAGTTAATTAAAACAAATATACAATTAATATATGCAATTAAGATATAAAAATCTATACAAAATGGAGTACTTAATATTTTGTATATTGATTAATATACCAATATATATCATAAATTATGATAAACATAAACATTAATACATAAATAAAAATTTCACTAATCTTGATAATCATTAATACACCACCGTTTATCTAATAATATAAAAACCAAACACCTTCAATATCATCAATACATTAAAATTGGTTAATAATCGTTTTGTCTAGCATATAATGCAGGTTTTTATCTAGTAGCTACTTAACCTTAATTTTAAGACAGCGTAAGCAAACAATACTGCATTTTTAGGAAACAAATCGAATTTTTTTGTAATAAATTTGTTATGATTATCAAATTTTGTTCTAAAATCAATGTATACTTTTAACACTATAAAAATTCGTTGGTGAGTTTGGTGGTAATAAGTAGATGAAGTGAGAGGTATCAACGTTGGTGTGTATAACCGATTAAGAGTATTTTGTAACACACACAAAACAAAACAGATTTAAATTGCAAGTAATCTGTCTCTTCGTAGTACCATACATAACAATTCAACCATCAAAGAAAGCTACACTATTTCTTCCGAGTTACTATATACTTATAAAAAGCTAAAAGAAAGATATGCGTTGACAAAAATTTGTTATTTATATGGAAGAAGTATTTATTATTTTAAGGTTATGTGTAGAAAATGTCTGATAGCTCAAATATTATAATTTACACACGAAAACGATTTGATGACATTGAAACTTTCGAAATCGAAAGCAAAAAAATATAGTATTATTACATAGCTTTTGATGTACACTATTAATATAAAAATTACTTAGATATTTGTTTGTTTTTCTTTTAATATATGAAATTAAGGAGACTTCAAGATTTAAAAAGGTCATTTAATTTGTTATTTTTAGTTTATTAGTTTTGCAAAATATTCGTGGTTTCATAACCACGCCTAATGAGAGTAGATTTTACGGTCCAAATGAATCTCACGTGCAAACATGTGATGTGATGCGAAAACTCCATTCGTTACATATTTTCATTTAATTTGTCCAATGTTTGCTATATATATTTTTCCACTATTTCTTTCACTAGAAATTGAGAATACATTGGTTATTGCTATAAAATAAACGACGGCATAACTAATTCAATAAACTTCGAATTTTGAATTTGAAACCCAACAAAACTAGGAAAATGACTACACTCGTAACCTCCTCCTTGGAGCAATTCACCGAAGGCTCTTATGCGTCATTCGCGCGAGCTAATTATGATTACAAGCTGATCCGGGATGTCTCGAAGCTAGGCTTGAAGTCTACAGGTTTCAAAAGATCTTCCAGTTTCTGCAAGCTTCTTGAAGTCATGCATCTTGGAAAACTCTTTGAACCTTTATCTTTATCTTTCATGTAATGTCTTTTATTTGTATGAACTTATCTCCTATGAGGATTTAGATGTATGTACGCTTCACTTTGTCCAAAAAAAAAAAAAAATTGGTATGTTCAAACATTCTTTATCGAAATATAGCATACTGTATGTATGTATAACTTTAGTATCACTTTTTTTTAAATTTTTTTTAATGATTATTGTACAAACAAAAAATTATTTTGATCACATTTGGGTTCACAAGAGTTTAGAAAATAATTTTGATGATACTAGTTATAATATTTTCTTTACAAATGTAGGTTTTGATTAATATGATGTTCTCTAAAGACAACTTATAGAGCATTCAACACTAATATCAACAACAATAGTAACTGAATAATTAAAGGCAAACAACAACATCAAAAAGCAATAACCGTAACTTCGAAACAAGACTAGAGGATTCTCTGCACAAGAAGAATCTATCAAACACTGTGAACAAAGTTAAACATTTTGATCATCAGAATCATCTCTTTCTTGAAGGAGGAGGTTCACGGCTGAGATTATGCTTTTGAAGAGTCTTGATATAGCTTCTCATCAGACCAAACTTATTGCTCCCAAGCTCATAGAAATAATCCCATGGATATATCCCTGTTCTATGCAAGTCATCAAACACTAACCTGAATCCTCAAAAAGATTTAGCCCCAACCGCATTAAGTTATAAGCGAAACAATAAATATAGGTTTCCGAATCTTTATGATAATCTTGCGGGATTTGTAAGTACCTCACCCCATAGTTGCCAACCGGTTCTGCAGACATGATTCCTACATACCGCCTTCCAGATATCACCTGATTGAGTAAACATATAATTTAGGCCAAAGATAAACACAGCAAGACTCAATGCAACGAGTAAAGAGTAAAACTTAAAGAATGCAATTTTGTCCAAAACAGTCTACAACCAACACGCTAATCATGCAATTAATGGACTAGTAACCGTAAGGCAAAATAACAATAGCAAGACTCATAGCTAAGATACTTAACAAAATGCACTTTCAACAAAGTATTTACATAATCAAGCCAACAAGAACAGAAAAGTAGTAGCCAAATGCAAACTCGCAATAGAACAACACTGCAACTCATTGCTACACCATATCCCCCATCCAGTGTAACTATATCATTGAAGTGGTTATACTCATATTTAAAGATTGCATCTTTGTTAAAACCCATCAAGGATCTACAAATGATCAGCCACTAGAACAGCAAACTAGTAGTCATAAGGTAGAGAAACAACAGCACAACACATGGTAAACCATAGCCTCATCTACATAAACGAAATCTCGTCTGAAGTTTCAAGTATATGTCATAACAAGAACAACAAACTAGTTGTCAATAATTTCACAGAGAGTTATGCAAAAGCCAAAGAGCCGCCAAACTAGACTTGCTCTTATCCAGAATCAACCTAGAACCAAGCATAAGTTAGAGTAAGAACAACAAGCTAGTGGCCATAATTTTTAGCTGGACCAAAAACAATAAGCCAAAATAAACAAAAGCAGCATCCAATGCTTAATCTAGTCTCATAGCTACCTCTCACATTATTGAAATTAGAATGCCTAAAGATTAGCTAAGACAAGATAATCAAAACTCTATAACCTCAGAAAACAATTATAGACTAAATTACCCTTTCACCACCGATTGATCTGACTTTTCCATCAGCAGCTGGACTATGAATCCTCAAAAACTCCGATGAAAAATTGAACTTTGTTCCATCTGAATACTCTACCTCAACCTTCAAAACAATATTCAACAAATCAGATTCAATTTCCAAAAATTTCTGATCGCCATGGAAACATAAGAAGAAACAACGAAGCTTACGTGTTTGGGAGATACAATAGAGAATCCGGCGAGTTTGGGAACAGTAATATCACTTGTTCCATGGATTCGCCGGCTTATCACTCTCGTAATCGCCCACATTTCTTTTCCCGGCAATCGCCGGGGACGATGATTTTTAGGCTTCTAGCTCTAAACGCAGTTTATTGGGCCTAATTCAAAAGCCCATTGGGTTTCGTTGTTATATCTACTAGGGTAAATAAACCGAACCGAATGTACCGAACCGAAACCAAAGCAAAAAGAACCGAACAGAATGGATACTAAATTCTATAACTGAAAAGCCGTAACTGAATCGGTACCGAACCGAAATATTTTGGATAACCGAAAATACCCGAAATACAATTATATTTTAAAAAATATCCAAAGCAAAATAACTGAATGGATACTAAATTTTAAAAAGAACTGGAACCGAACCGAAAGCGAACCGAAATTTCCAAATATCCAAAGAAAAACTAAATTTCAGAACCGAAAGAACTGAAACCAAACTAATAACCGATCAGATAACCGAACGCAGAGGACTAATTTCTACTAAAATTTAAAAACGGCGTCCGACTTCTGCAACTAGTAGTTATTAACTACTGGTCTAACTTTAGTCAAAGGTAAAGCAAAATCACGCCTCAAACGGAAAATCAAAGACAAAAATAATTAAGAGTACCTAATAAATTCATAAAAAGCTGTAAAGAAATTACAACATGAAAAATAACACGCAAAGTATCCGAATTTTTTTTGTGTGTGACAAAACTACATAATTTTTGTATTAAACTACTATTCAAAAAAAAAAAAAAAAAAAAATAATTTTTGTATTAAACTACTATTCAACGTCAAAAAAAAAAAAAAAAAAAAAAAAAAAACGTCAAAGAAAGTGAAGTAAACGAAAACCATCAACAAAAGTAAATTCGTACCTTAAAAAAGCAAATAAATATGTGATCGGAGACCAATAGTTTTATTAGTGAGCCGTCTTTTTTTCTCCTTCTCCAAGTTCGTAACTTTTTTTTTTTTTTCATATTCTCCATAGGTCAGGAATAAATAAAAAAGTAAAATTCCTTATTTTACTTTTTTTTTATCCTTCTTAATTGAGAAACAACAAAAAAAAAGGAATTACGTAAATTCAAAACTCTTATCATCATCCAAAATCAGAAACTTTGACTGGAAGAGAGAATTAGAGAAGTTGAAAAAGAAAAATCTTTACTTTTTTCTTTTGTTGTTGTTACTGGAACAAAAATTAGAACAGAGTTTCTTTCTCTAATCCATCGACAGCCAACGCCGGCGATTTCGGCGGCGTAGGAGATGAAAGTTCGTAGAAAACTTGGTGGTGGTTGCGGCGGAGACGTTGTTGTTTCATGGCGGACGTTCTTTTGGTTCGTGATTCTATTTGTCTTCTCCTTCGTTCTCTTCTCCACCATGTTTATCTTTAAAGGTAAATTTATGACCCGAACTGTTATTTTATCTTTCAAATTCATCATCAGAAACTGAGATTAAATTTTAGCAGGGAATTTACGTCCGGTGGTTCGTTCGACGATAAGCTTCTCAACGGCTGTTACGGCGAGGGCGGTTCTCGGCGAGTCTATTATATCGTCTTCTCCGGCGGTTACGATTCGTGAAGCGGTGAAATTACCTGAACAAACACTGGTTTTCCTAAAATACCCTCAGTCTCTTCGGTTATTTACAAAAGACGATCTCATTTGCGTTTTCTCCGGTTCGTCGAAGCTACGGAAAGTGTATCCTACGGCTGTTGACAGAGACAAATTCGGAGGTCAGATCGTACGGTGTCCTGAGACGCCACGTGGATACACCATATCGCTTGCTGTTTCGAGATGGACGACGGATGATCATCTCCCGGCTGGACCAACTCACCGGTGGGATTGGCTGGTTTACGACGCCGTGATCGACTACGATAACTCTACGGTGGTTTTTGTCAAGGGGCTTAATCTACGGCCGGGAAGAGTAGCTGACGTGTCGAGATATGAGTGCGTGTACGGCTGGGATTTCGCGAAACATAATCGGTTAATTAGATCAGATGTTATCTCAGCGGCTCAGGAGATTGTACGGTGTAGAACACCGTTAGCTGTGTTAGACGGCCCAAAAGCGGCCCGTGGGCCTGTTAAAGTCTCGGTTAGAATTAAAGGAGGAACCGGTATGCTTCCTTCTATCGCTCAACCGGTTCGGATCATTAACCCGCCGCGAAAGAAACCGTTTCAAATGTGCGTTTGTACTATGACGCGAAACGCTACCGCGGTTTTGAGAGAGTGGGTGATGTACCACGCCGGAATCGGCGTTCAACGGTGGTTCATATACGACAACAACAGCGACGACGACATAATCGCCGAGATCGAGAATCTCGAAAGCCGCGGTTACAATATCTCGAGACATTTCTGGCCGTGGATTAAAACTCAGGAAGCTGGATTCTCCAATTGCGCGATTCGTGCAAAGAGCGATTGCGATTGGATTGCGTTTATTGACGTCGACGAGTTCTTCTACATCCCCTCCGGTGAATCCCTAACTTCCGTCATCAGAAATTACACTAGCTCCGATTCGATTGGTGAAATTCGAACTCCGTGCCATAGTTTTGGACCGTCGGGTTTGAGATCTCGGCCACGGGATGGAGTCACGGCGGGATACACTTGTCGTATGGTGTTACCGGAGAGACACAAGAGCATAATCCGGCCGGAAGCGATGAACGCGACGCTGATAAACGTCGTTCACCATTTTCACCTCAGAGATGGATTCACGTTTGCTGACATGGATAAGGATATAATGGTAATTAACCATTACAAATATCAGGTTTGGGAGGTTTTCAAAGAGAAGTTTTATCGGAGAGTCGCGACTTACGTGGCGGATTGGCAAAACGAAGAGAATGTCGGGTCGAGAGATCGAGCACCCGGTTTAGGAACCCGACCCGTTGAACCACACGATTGGGCTGAGAGATTCTGTGAGGTGAATGATACGGGGCTTAGAGATCAGGTGTTTGAGAAGTTCAAAGACAATAAAACGCAGCGTTTAATATGGGAAAAAGCGGAAGACGACAATGTTAGATTTAAAAAGGGCTCTTTGGCCCATCATAGAATAGCTCGAAAGATTAAAAAACAGATTAATAAAGCCCATTAGCCATAATTTTGGTTTTTTTTTTTTTAGTTCTACAGTGGAATTTCTTCCGGACGTGTCGGAATTTATTCTGTAATTTTGGTCGAGTAGTAGTGGAGTAAATAAGGAAGATTAAATATTTGACAACAGAAAAAGGAAAACTATATAAAAAAATTTCCAAAACACTCAATAGGCCCAACAGAGGCCCAGTTACAAATTAGCCGTTTCGAGGAAATCAAGATTTTTAAAAAGATAATCCGACCGTTGGGAAGAATATTCTCTTTTTCCCATTTTCCTTCTCTCTCTTTTCGGGAGCGTTCTCTGAAATCTCAAACCCTAGATCCAGAGAATGGTGAGTGAAACACCATCAAGAGTTACTAATCGATCCGGAGATGGATCGAATGGATCGAAGGAAGTATCGATCGCGAGAGAGAAGAATGGTGAAAACGCAGAGATTTTCATCAGTCCAAGATTCAAATCAGCGGCGGCTATGGCGGGTTGGGATGAAGAAGATCTGATAATCGCTAGCTTTGTGGTTGAGGATACTCCTGAAAGAAGTTCTTCAAAGCGAAGGAGACGTTCCAATTTGTTGTTTAAATCAACCCCACCTTCAGGTTCTTCAAGAAGGTAAACCAAAAATCGCTTCTTTTTCTTTAGGGTTCTTCTGATATAGAGAAATTGTGAAATCTGGGAAATGGGTTTGTTGAAATTTGTTCAATTTTGTATCTTTTTTGGATTTCAGGAAGCAGCGAGTTAATCAAAGTCTTGTTGCGTTACCTGTTATTGATCTTGATGAAGTAATCAGACATGAAGGTATTTTTCGTTACTAATTGGGTTTAGGATCTATGAAATTAGATTAGTTTCGTTGAAGTTTTTGAGTCTGTTGCGGTTGTAGAAGAGAAATCTGCAGAGAAGAAGAAAAAGAAGAGAGAGATGGAAACAGAAACACAAGAAGAGAAGAAGAAAATAGATGAAGATGAGAAGATTTTGTCAGAGCAGAACCCAATTCCTGTTGTGCTTCCTTGCATAGATAAGCTTCGAGACGAATTGTCTTGCGCCGTATGTATCTGAATCTTGAGGCTGAGACTGTTCTGTTTTTTCGCAATTCATTGATTCAGGGTTCTTGAACTTGAATTTTTTGCTTGCAGATTTGTCTTGAGATTTGCTTTGAACCTAGTACTACAACCTGTGGACACAGGTAGATTAACTACAACAACAGAGTTATCTTTGTAAGGTGAATTTGGTACTGAATTATTCAATTTTGGTTCTCTGTAGCTTCTGCAAAAAGTGTTTGCGATCTGCGGCGGATAAGTGTGGCAGGAAATGCCCTAAATGCAGGCAACTAATAGGGTAAATAGCATAGAACTTTGATGAGTTTTGGATCAAAAGCTTCGAGATTTATCTAACAGTGTTATTTATCTATGCAGAAATGGAAGATATTGTACGGTTAATACGGTTCTTTGGAACACAATCCAGCTTTTGTTTCCTAAAGAAGTCGAAGCACAGAGAGCTGCTGCTGCTAACTCGAAAGGCAAGGAAACACCGAGTCCTAGAAATCCTAATCAAAGGCTAAGAAGCAGAAACAGAGAAACTGCCTTGTTTCAAGAAAGGTTACAAAGAGAGGATATTTCAAGATTGCTTGTATCCGAAGAGAGAAGCGAGAGGAGCGAGAGAAGGAGGAGAAGCGCGAGTATGAGGTTGGATCAAGATAGGGATGCTGCATTAGCATTGCGGTTACAGCGGCAAGAGTTCGCATCAGCGTTTGGCGCAACGACGGCTGAAACTTCTTCTTCATCGGTTTCTACTCTGTCGCTAGCAAGAGCTAACCTGAGAGCTATGGCGTCAAGAGCTGTTCGCAGGCAAGGATGATATGTGCTCATCATCTTGAATGACATTCATCATCATCTTTAGCCTGAATCTGCCTCGGATCAAAGGCAATTTACACATTGTACAACTACATTATTATTCAGTTCCTTATTCCTGACATTTCCTTAGAAATCCATAGTCTGATCATGAAGATTGTAATCGATCGTTAACATGGAACATTTCTTGGTAATGATGACAGGGATGAGAATGTGAGAGTTTGAAAATCGGAAGACAAACTAAATTAGGTTAACTTGTGTTTTTATAATAACTTGCGTGTCAAATTAGGTTAAAGAGTGATTAAGTCCTGCATCGGTAATTATCAAAGATACAATCTAATATAAAACGTACAACTGATTCTGTATAGTTGTCGTCAACTATTATAGAACCACTAGATGAATACCCACGCTACGCGTGGGTTTGTTTTGAAAATTGTGAAGCAAAAATTATTGATTGTTTTTGCTAATTTATGTTTATTTTTTTATTTGTTATTTTGTAGTTAATAAAACTAAATCTATCTTATGTAGTTACAATTTTTAAGATTAGATCTATTTTTTGACTTGAAATATAACCCGGGAAAAAGACTTATTTGTCAGCTGAGACCTCTTGCTTGTTCCCGTAATATCCTTCATCGTCCTCATGGCTCTGCTAGTTGGTCAGAAGGTACTTTATCAGCTTTCTCAATATCTATTATGGGTACAAAGTTTTTTTTTATCCTTTTTGAATGGGATTCATTGAACTCTCTCGTTTATATTTTCCGGGGATACAAAAGTTCTAGCTGCAGTATACGGACCTAAAGCAGGAACGAAGAAGAACGAAAATGCTAAGAAGGCTTGTTTTGAAGTCATATGTAAGCCTTAAACCGGATAGATTGGTAATCGTAAATGCGTTTAGTTGTTCAGAAGGAGGCTTGTTTTGTTGCTTGAGTATGTCATACAGGTGATACTTGGTTTTTAGATCTGAATTACTTTTGCTTTGAATATTGATAGGAAAAGTTGAAAGGGAGTATGAAACGATACTGAAAAGGACGCTACAGAGTATTTGTGTTTTGTCAGTTGTTCCAAATACCACCACCTCAGTGATAATTCAGGTGAGTAGCTATTCAATGTTGTGTATATCGATATTGTCAACTTGAGTTGTATCTGATGTTTTCATTTCGTAATTCCCGTGTAGGTTGTACATGATGGTGGTTCTGTATCGTTTTTATGTTCCTTGCACCTTGGTAAACATTTACTGATGCTGTCTGAAATACATATAATCCGGTATAAACAATGTCTGTTTGAGTATTTATAGAGTTTATAGTAGTGAAAGTTTGTAATCCCATAAGCTGAGAGTGTGAATATGTTTTTGTGTAACTTCTACCGTGGCCTCCATTCTGGCAGTTAGAAAGTAGAAAATGTTTGTTCTAAAGAAATATGATGTACAGAAAGGGAGACTATGAAGGATGGAATTTACAAATTCGAGAAATTTGCGTTGAGATTCTTCTTCTTTCATATTGAACGATCGAGCAGAGAGTGGGAGAGATTTATTTTGTTAAAGTCTTGTAGGGAATTAGAATATTTGTTGGGTTTAGAAGCATTAAGCCATCACTAAAATGGGCTCGACCCATTAATATTGCACTCTAATAGATTCTAAGACACATATGGCCCATCCGTCATGGGCTATTTTGTTTACTCCATTTGACACTTATAATTAGAAGCTGATGTGTATTAATGAAATGTTTTGATTGGACGAATAAAAAGCTGATGTGTCATCTCTAGAAGAGCCAAAAATGCTGACGTGGCGGAAAGATGGAGAGAGATAGCCTCCTTTCATATATATGATTAGCCCACGCTTCATTACCAATTGACAATTTTTATTTTTTACTTTGATAAATGATAATACTTGAGATCAATATACTAATTAATCAATATATAATTATTATTTTTTTACTTTCAAATCATAATACAACTTGAGAAGATTTTTTTCTTATACATATATAATTTTCTTTTGTTTTTAAATCATAAGAAAACTCTTCTTTTTTATTCTTAGATAGCTCGTTAACAATTTTAATATATCCAATCATACTCTTTATGCATCCAAACCGGGTTATAAACATACTCGCCAGCTTCTTTCTTTAAATAGATCCCATTTTCTCTTGCTCTCCAATCCCATAGGCCTCCTTGATCTGCCATAGCGAAAAGCTTGAATGCTGTAAAGTTTTGATAGTGCCTATAGTTAGGACCTTGTCTCAAAGTACACATAAAACGCGTTGTATGCCAAAAGTTTATATCGAAAAGATTTTCATAATGTTGTCCGATTGGTATTATGTTTGGACCTAATACGTCATCTTTGGAATAACACCTCATCCAGAGACGTTTCTTGTTTTTGAGTTCGTTCGAGATCCTGAATCCGCCGCCGGATACATGGTCTAGCATGCAAATGCTAATAACAAATAGAAAGACTAATAATTGTTTCATTTTTTTAACGTTTTGGTACATGTTTAGATCTTTGGTTTTATTAATTTGGTTTTTGTTTTTCTGGTATTCTATATATACACATACATCTATATTACTATTGTTGGCACAAGATTTCCTTCACTATTAGTATTTAGTTATAACATATACTAGATTGTAACTAAAACGTTTAAATTTTAAGATGTAGTTGTGTTTTTTTTTTTGTAATATTGTTTGTTTTTAGTGTTTAAGAATATATAATCGTATTATGATTGTTAATTCTAAGATTTTGCCCGTAGTATACTAATCCATATTAATATCGATCCAAACCCGTCCCACCATATAACCCCGTCCGGTGAAATAAAACATCATTTTATTATTTTTCTTTTTAAGAATACGTTTATTAAAATGACATAATTCGAGTCTATTCAAAATTTTGCTTTTAAATGGTTCACTACTTCCCATAATATATATATATATATATATATATATATATATCAAATTATAGTTGTTTTGTTAATATTTTTGTTTTGTTTAGTGTTTAAGATTGTATAATTGTATTTTGATTGTTAATTCTAGGATTTCACCCATGGTATACCGTCTCTTATTAATATCGACACAAACTCATCCCACCATATAACCCCGTCCCGTGAAATTAAATATCATTTTGTTATTTTTCTTTTTATTAATTATAATATTTTTATTTAAAAGACATATAATTCGAGTCAATTTAAATGTTTGCATTTAAATGGTTTTCATAATATATATATATATATATATATATTTAATTTGTATAGAGTTTCAATATTATTAATATTATAAACTTGTATATAATTTTAATATTATAAATATATATATATATATATATATTTAATTTGTATAGAGTTTCAATATTATTAATATTATAAACTTTTATCTAATTTTAATATTATAAATACTTTAAACGTTTTATAAAGAGTGATTAAGTCCCACAACTGGTAATTATCAAAGATACAATCTAATATAAAACGCACAACTGATTCTGTATGGTTGTAGTCAATTGGTGGCGCAACGACGGCTGAAACTTCTTCTTCATCGGTTTCTACTCTGTCGCTAGCAAGAGCTAACCTGAGAGCTATGGCGTCAAGAGCTGTTCGCAGGCAAGGATGATATGTGCTCATCATCTTGAACATCATCATCTTTAGCCTGAATCTGCCTCGGATCAAAGGCAATTTACACATTGTACAACTACATTATTATTCAGTTCCTTATTCCTGACATTTCCTTAGAAATCCATAGTCTGATCATGAAGATTGTAATCGATCGTTAACATGGAATTTCTTGGTAATGATGACAGGGATGAGAATGTGAGAGTTTGAAAATCGGAAGACAAACTAAATTAGGTTAACTTGTGTTTTTATAATAACTTGCGTGTCAAATTAGGTTAAAGAGTGATCAAGTCCTAAAAGATACAATCTAATATAAAACGTACAACTGATTCTGTATGGTTGTCGTCAATTGGTGGGGAGATACAAGCTGGTGGTTCATGTTGTGGTGATGGGTTTGATGAGATCGAATGATTAAAGATTCATTCCATAGATAGAAGTTCTCTCATAGAACCATTAGCCCACGCTTCATTACCAATTGACAATTTTTATTTTTTACTTTGATAAATGATAATACTTGAGATCAATATACTAATTTTATCAATATATAATTAATTTTTTTTTACTTTTAAATCATAATACAACTTGAGAAGATTTTTTTCTTATACATATATAATTTTCTTTTGTTTTTAAATCATAAGAAAACTCTTCTTTTTTATTCTTAGATAGCTCGTTAACAATTTTAATATATCCAATCATACTCTTTATGCATCCAAACCGGGTTATAAACATACTCGCCAGCTTCTTTCTTTAAATAGATCCCATTTTCTCTTGCTCTCCAATCCCATAGGCCTCCTTGATCTGCCATAGCGAAAAGCTTGAATGCTGTAAAGTTCTGATAGTGCCTATAGTTAGGACCTTGTCTCAAAGTACACATAAAACGCGTTGTATGCCAAAAGTTTATATCAAAAAGATTTTCATAATGTTGTCCGATTGGTATTATGTTTGGACCTAATACGTCATCTTTGGAATAACACCTCATCCAGAGACGTTTCTTGTTTTTGAGTTCGTTCGAGATCCTGAATCCGCCGCCGGATACATGGTCTAGCATGCAAATGCTAAAAACAAATAGAAAGACTAATAATTTATTCATTTTTTTTTCTTATGTTTTGGTAGATGTTTAGATCTTTGGTTTTATAGATTTGGTTTCTGTTTTTCTGGTATTCTATATATACACATACATCTGAATTACTATTGTTGGCACAAGATTTTCTTCACTATTAGTATTTAGTTATAACATATACTAGATTGTAACTAAAACGTTTAAATTTTAAGATGTAGTATTTTTTTTTTGTAATATTGTTTGTTTTTAGTGTTTAAGAATATATAATTGTATTATTATTGTTAATTCTAAGATTTTGCCTGTAGTATACCGTGCCATATTAATACTGATCCAAACCCGTCTCACCATATAACCCCATCCGGTGAAATTAAACATCAATTTTTTTTTAATAATTCGTTTATTTAAATGACATAATTCGAGTCAATTTAAAAGTTTGCTTTTAAATGGTTCACTACTTCCCATAATATATATAGAGAATATTTCAAGTTATAGTTGTTTTGTTAATATTGTTTGTTTTGTTTAAAGTTTAAAATTGTATAATTGTATTTTGATTGTTAATTTAGGATTTCAGCCATGGCATACCGTCCTGTATTAATATCGACACAAACTCATTCCACCATATAACTCCGTCCTGTGAAATTAAACATCATTTGGTTAATTTTCTTTTTATTATAATACTTTTGTTTAAAAGACATATAATTCGAGTCAATTTAAATGTTTGCTTTTATATGGTTTTCATAATATATATACAGTAAAACCTCTATAAATTAATAATGTTGGGACCATGAAATTTTATTAATTTAGAGAGGTATTAATTTATCGATAAATTAATAATTATTAATTTATAGAGAGATTTTACTAATTTTATAATTTTTAAAAAAATTTCTATCTAAAAATAATTTTTTTCTTTATAAGCAATATCTTTTTTAAATCAATTGCAAGTAGAGAAGTAATTATTAAGTTTAAAAAAACAATACAAACTTTTTTCGAATAATAGAATCATATTTCATTAAATTATCACATATAATATCTTAAATATATATCATAGTAATTCATATATGACATATATATATATATATATATTAAGTTAAATATACATATATATATATTGATAAGTTTATACAATTATTAATTTATAATATAGATAGGACCATATGTTTACATGGAATTTTCAAAAAAATTATTATCTTATTAATTTATCGATTTATGTCATATTTTACACTGGTCCCAACTCAGGACCGGAAGAATTTATTAATTTAGAGAGGTTATTAATTTATAGAGTATTAATTTATAGAGGTTTTACTGTATATATAATTTGTATAGAGTTTCAATATTATTAATATTATAAACTTTTATATAATTTTAATATTATAAATACTTTAAACGTTTTATAAAGAGTGATTAAGTCCCACACCTGGTAATTATCAAAGATACAATCTAATATAAAATGTACAACTGATTCTGTATGGTTGTCGTTAATTGGTGGCGCAACGACGGCTGAAACTTCTTCTTCATCGGTTTCTACTCTTTTTTGCTAGCAAGAGCTAACCTGCGAGCTATGGCGTCAAGAGCTATTCGCAGGCAAGGATGATATGAGATCATCATCTTTAGCCTGAATCTGCCTCGGATCTAGGCAACACATTGTATAACTACATTATTATTCAGTTCGTAATTCCTGAAATTTCTATAATCACCTAAGAAATCTATAGTCTGCTTTAACAGTATTAAGTTTGGAATTCGATCTTAGAAGATCTCGCAAGTATTTATGTACTTTCCATAGTTCACTCGATAATAAGGAGATTTGCAAACAAGATTATGAACATGGCAAACACATTTCTTGAGATCAAATCTTCGAAACGTAGAAAGCTTGATCATGATGATTGTAATCGATCATTAACATGGAACATTTGTTGATGACATTGATGAGAATGTGATAGTTTTAACATCGGAAGACAAACTATATTAGGTCAACTTGTATGTCAAAAATAGGTTAAGTTACTAAGTCCCACATTGGTAGTTATCAAAGATACAATATAATATAAAAGGTACAACTGATTATGTATGGTTATCGTCAATTGGTGGGGAGATATAAGCTGGTGGTTCTTCTTGTTGTGATGGGTCTGGTGAGATCAAATGATTAAAGATACATTCCATAGATAGAAGCATTAGTCCAAGTCTCACTACCAATTGACAATTTTTTATTTTTTTTTACTTACTAGAGATCAAGATACTTTTTTTCTTTTTGTCAATATATATATATTTTTTTACTTTTCAATCATAATATAACTTGAGAAGATTTTTTTTATCCATATATAAATTTCCTGTTTTTAAATAATAATATATATATTTTGTTCTTAGATAGAATGTTAACATTTTTAATTTATCCAATCATACACTTTATGCATATAAACCGGGTTTAAAACTTGCTCGCCAGCTTCTTTCTTTAAATAGATACCATTTTCTCTTGCTCTCCAATCCCATAAGCCTCCTTGATCTGCCATACTGAAAAGCTTGAATACTGTAAAATTCTGATAGTGTTTATAATTAAAACCTTGTCTCAAAGTACACATAAAACGCGTTGTATGCCAAAAGTTAATATCGAAAAGATTTTCATAATGTTGTCCGATTGGTATTATGTTTGGACCTAATACGTCATCTTTGGAATAACACCTCATCCAGAGACGTTTCTTGAATTTGAGTTCGTTCGAGATCCTAAACCCGCCGCCGGATACATGGTCTAACATGCAAATGCTAAAAACAAATAGAAAGACTAACAATTTTTTCATTTTTGTTTTACTTTTTGGTAGATGTTTAGATCTTTGGTTTTGTTAACTTGGTTTTTTTATTATTCTGGTATTACATATATACACACATCTGTATTAATATTGTTGACATAAGATTTCCTTCAATATCAATTCTAAGTTTTAACATATATGATATATGTCAAATGGCATAATATGCAAGATATATACTATTGGAATCCAAATTTGTTATAAAAATCATATTAGGTAAACATAAATCTATTCAAATTGAATTTTAAAGAAAAAGGATAAAATCAAGTAGCAATTACTGTATGTAAGATCAACTATAAGCCTCGAGGAAAAAAAAAATTAAGTTTTTTTCACAAACTACAGTTGTTTATATTATTTTATTTTTATTATAGAAAGTCCGAAACTCAAATATATTTATCCAAATAAATTTATTCTCTAAATTATGATAGTATTATGCTTCAATGTTTTTTACTTTTTGCCATAGGACCATTGTATAGATCTATAATCTTTCGATTTTAACCTGTACCGTTTTCATTTTTAATGAAATATTTACATTCTTAGCAAACCAAATTTATAATATAATTAAAAATTTTAATTTTAAGACTACGATATATTTAATTTTAAATTTTGATTCAAAAGATATAAATAATCAAACTTATGCTAACTTGATAGGCAAGGGAAACGCCGAGTCCTAGAATCACTAATCAAAGGCTAAGAAGCAGAAATAGAGAGACAGCTTCGTTTCAAGAAAGGTTGCAAAGAGATGATCTTTCGAGATTGCTTGTATCTGAAGATAGAGAAGCGATTGGAGAGAGAGAACGAGGAGAAGTACGAGTATGAGGTTGTAACAAGATAGGGATGCTGCATTAGCCTTGCGGTTGCAGCGACAGGAGTTAGCGTCAGCATTTGGCATAACGACGGCTGAAACTTCTTCTCGGTCGCTAGTAAGAGCTAACCTGCTAGCTTGGTGCAATAAGCTGTTCGCAGGCAAGGATGATATGAAATCATCATCTTGAATGACATTCATCATCATCTTTAGCAAAAATCGTTGGTTTAACACATTGTAAAACTATATTCTTATTATTATTCAGTACCTTATTCCTGAAATTTCTATAATCTTTTTAGAAATCCATAGTCTGCTTTAACAAAATTACATGTTTGGAATTTAATTGTATATATTTTTTAAACCGCTTCGAGTAATTTTATTAAGATCAGGAAAATATCACTGGAAACCGCGATGACCTCAAACAGAGGCATTTCTTATCTGAATTGAAAGATATTACCCGACCTAATTAAAGATATGTACGTATGTTTAGTTTCTCTGCGTATTTCTTAAAATTTTGCTTATAAGGTTCTCTTGTGAATCAAAGTTTTTGCTTCTTTTTGTTGTTGTTAACACCTATATTTCAAAATCCCACCCATATTTCAAACTTAAATTTATCTAATACATTTTGTTAAACATCTTAATTTCTTCTTTAACTAAATATGGGATAATGCATGTAAAAAAAAATTGTATGTAAATCTGCAGCACAGTGCCCGTACGTGGTAGTAGTGCCACAGTGGTACGATCGTTAACGCTAGTTGTACAAAATAATTTGGCTCCACGTACTTCTTTTCCTAAAGCATTCTTTTATTTAGTTCTTAAAACAAACTAATTGACTTATTTAAAATATTTTTTGACAAACATAACATCACTGGCATATATGTACATTAAATGTCGTCATAACGACAACATAATGGCAAGACAAATTTCATAATACATCAATGGGATTATTGTTGATTTTGTCATTTTTCATCAAAATATTTTGAAAATGCCATTTTTACTAAAATTTTACAGGTTTGCCATGTTTTAACAGTTAAAAATGTACGATTTTTTTTGCAAAAATACATATTTTAGACCAAATACTAAACCCTATTCAAAAATACATATTTTATACCAAATACTAAACCCTATACATATTTTATATAAATAAAACCGATTAAACCCAAGCATAACGGGTAAAACGCATGTTAAATCACATTTTTATAGCCTGAAAAGAGGCAAAATCCACAAACTATATAAGAAAGGACAAATACCATTAAAAAATGGCAAATCCATAATTGATTCTACATAAATTTCGGCAACGAGAGTTTTGGGTCGTTTACGATCATCTCATATAAGTCATAATGTTACAAAATATTGAATTGCAATTATCATGACCACATTCCCCCGCCAATAAAATTACATTCACACAAAAAAACAAAACCATGTTCGAGCCTTCCACATGTCTTAGTCGTGAAAGTCAACGATCAGATACTATAAAGAATTGCTGCCTTGAGCAAGCGGGAAAAAAAGGACAATAGATAAATTGTTAAATCCTCTATATAGACCTACTTTTAACAATCCCATTCTCATAACAAAAAAACATCCGAATCTGATCTTACACTCATCGAACTCAATCGAAACGCAACGTTTTCAAAGAGACGTCCAACTAAAATGATGAAGAAGATCTTTGTTCAAATCAGTGTAGCTTGTCTAGTGTTGGCGTTGATGATTGCGATGGTCTCGGCTCAGGGACACGACGATCACGAGGGTCACGGTGATCACGATGGTCACGACCATGCACCGGCTAAATCACCAAACGCCGCTGTCATTGTTACTGCTGATATGTTCACCGGCTTGGCCGCAGTCACCGTGGCTCTTGTGGCTGGCTACATCTACTGATGAGTTTATCATATAGATAAATATTTTGTGAATTGTGATTCTTTTTCTTTTCTTTTATATATTGTTGCCACAGTCCTTTCTCTCTTAATGTTTTCAATTTTTCTTTTGTGTGTTCATCAGAATGTTATGTAAACAAATTTCGTGTGACGTGTTTGTTTATGTTTGTACTAAAAACAAAATAATAATGTTGGAGCGTTAATTATAAAGATCTCTTTATTACCCAATAGGGCTTATTATAGAGATCCTAAACTCTCCTATCTAGCCAAAAACTCTCACTCACAAAATGGTCTAAGACCCGTTTTTCAATCTCTCTTCTCCTCTACTATACCCCTCCCTATACAATATGTTATCTCCTCTAACTACTATTCTTCCTATCCAATTAGCTACTGGCCCATCATAATTAAGCTTTTAGCATCTACTCTTCTTGCCAATTGACGACCTTTGAACCCACAATTTGGCAAGTTCAGTCATCATGACCCCTAACGTACGGTTTGGCAAACCTCGGTCATCTTGGCCCTCGAAACCTTGTGTCAGCATACCTCGATCATCACAATCTTTAAAACATGGTTCAACATACCTCGGTCATCATGACCTCCAAACCCACACATTAACACATTACAATTATCATGACCATCGATCTGTACCCCACACTCATCACGTTCACCAACCTAGCTATGATAAGGCAATGCATTGCTAATAACTTCATTCAGCACTTTCAATCTATGACTTGAACCAATTTTCATGGTTTAATCCTTCATTTATTATTATCATATTCAAGACATTCCATAAATGATCAATTCATAATAATACAAAATCATATAAACGCCCTAACTTAATCATGTCATATTCAAAGAGAATCAAACAAGTCATGTTTAAAACACGATAAATATTTACACATGAATAGAGAGAAAATTTAACCATAACTAACGAATATATTTCACATAAACAATAATGATCACAACCAAATATCCTTTAAAAGTAAGAGAGAGTGTGCAATATTTAAGAAAAGAATCTAGAATATGAGGTTTCCTGAATCTAAAAAATAAAAATGACAACAAGAAAAAGTTAAAGTATAAAATATAGAAGAAAGATAAGCATATTATTATTTCTTTACTTTGCGTGAGGAAAGATTAACATATAACTTATTTCGTTCATAATTAAAGTAAAATAACGTCAAAGAAAAGCGATCTCAAATAGTCGTTGTCTATATAAATTAATAGGTTTGACAATGATAGAAACTAACCTTAAATTCTAAAAAATTTCAAATCAACAAAACTTCTTTGGAGTAATGGAATACATCGACTACCCTACTCCTCCTTCTCAACTCCTATGCCCTGAGATACGAACCAACAACAGGGATTGTCATTTCCCTTGGATACATGTTGGTAATATTTCTTATGCCATAATCAATAATTCTTGTTACCTCTCAGATGCAAGAGAAGAAGAAAAAAATTCTTCACATTTTCACCATCTTAACCTTCTTCTCTGGTGTAACAATAAAGAAGATCAACAGAATGACTTCAACTGCTCGGCTTGTTGTCAAAATAACATCGGTACAATCTATTATTATTGCAATGGATGTGACAAAACTTACCATAAAGAGTGTGTTGAGTCTCCCCCTGACTTTAGATCCCCTTATCACCCCAAATATACTCTCCAGCTTCTCCAATATCTTGATAAAAGGGAATGCCATTCTTGTGGCAAGAAAACTAACTATTTAGTTTACTATTCTTCTATTTGTGATCTTATTTTACATACTGTTTGTGCAAATAAAAGGGAATTCCCCACTATAAATAATAAAAAAAAGACATCAGCATACACTCCACTATTTCCCAAGAAAAGCCTCACTTACATGCGATGTTTGTGGAATGGATGATAACAAAATTTGCTTCTATATATATATGTCATCAATGCAATTTTGTTGTCCATATAACTTGTGTCGGCTTACCACACGTCATACAAATATCTCGTCACATTCACCGTCTCTTTTTTACTTCTTCTATTTCTCTTGGAATATGGTCATGCGGAGTTTGTCGTCAAAAGATTGATGGTAACTATGGGGAATACTCTTGCTTAAAAGGTTGTTCTTATGCAGTGCATTCTAAATGTGTGACGAAACATGATGTATGGGATGGGAAGGAATTGGAAAACCAACGCGAAAATGTATACGATAGTTTAAAATCGTATGTGGAGATAGGTGATGGGATTATAAGACATTTTAGTCATCCACATCATAGCATGATTTTTGATGAAGATATCGGCAAAGCATATTTTGAAAAAAAAGCATTGCGAGGCGTGCTCACTTCCTCTTGATGATGGTAGTATCTATAAATGTATGCAATATGATTTTGTTCTCCATGAAACATGTGCACATCTTCCCTGCATAAAACAAAATATGGTGCATGCCCACCACTTTATTCTACAACGGGGTGAACATGTTTTCTTTTGTAAATCTTGTCATCGTTACTCGTACGGTTTCATATATGACTGTTACGAAAAGTGTAGAATCAGTTTGGACATAAGGTGTGCTTCTCTATCTGAACCGGTCTATCATCAATCTCATCCGCATCCTTTTTTCCTACTATATACTAGGAGAGCTAAGGAACCTTGTTCGATATGTGGAAAATTATCTTATCTACTTTTAAATTGTGTAGAATGTGTCTTTACTTTGTGCTTTTTGTGTGCCACTCTACCGTACAAGGTTAAGCACGAGGATGATGAACATTTTCTCCCCTATCTTATGCAAAAGATGCAATTTGCCCCTACTGGTGTGAAGTTTGTGAGGGTTGGATCCAGAGAAAGGATATTATACATGCGGTAAATATGGTACCACGATTCATATTCAATGTATAATAGGTAATGATCCATATATGAAGCCAGGACAAACATTCGTAGGCTATGCAGAGAAGATTGATATTATTCCAAACAATCGTCTCATTCGTCCCATTTGCACTCACTGCCAAAGACATTGTCAATACAAAATAATATTCAGAAAATATGGAAAGATATATTGTTCATACTCAGAAATTCTCGAACCACCTATGAGAAGGTGTATAAATATGATAATTTTGAATTACTTGTGATAGTACTTTTTTGATGTAATGCTTACTAATTAAAAGTTGGTGATTCTCTCATTGCAGGTTATTAAGGGCAGAATCACATGCATATAAATATGGCGACTGAAAATACTAAGAAGATGGAGTTCCATTCTTGTGGATTACAGTTCAAAGACTGGCAATTCGATCGCTTGCAATTATGCCAAGATCAGATCTTTATGATATATATTAAACACATTTAGTATGTAAATGAATATATAGATAAATAAAAATGGTAACCTACTATATATGATATGTTCATTGTGTTGAAATGTTAAATATTTGATTAAGTTTATATGGTTGACAACATAACAAGTTTTAGAAACTTTTAAAGTGTTTACCATGTGAAAATTTGAAATGTTATTTCTTTCACATCAATCCCCTAAATCGTAAAATTTTAAACCCTAATCCTAATATTCTAAACTATAATCACTTTCTCGTCGAAACTAAAAAACATTTAATTGCAAAATCTATACTCTAATCTTAATATTTAAACTCAAGTCGACGTTCGATTCTCATCGAAGCTTACTGCTTTCTGAAGTCTCTTTCCCTCTCTCTCTTCAGGACATTTCTTCTGCAAAATATGAAAGTGTTAGTTTTTAGTTGAAATAATAAAGTATTAGATGAGCATATTTTTTCTTCAAAAAAAAAAAAAAAATCTCAAAAAGGTTAGCTCTTTCTTCTTACATTTTCGCCATAATTGTTTTTTGTTATTTTTTCCTAAATTGTTAGAATCATTTTGTATAATATTAATAATCTAAAAAATTCTTAAAATTTGCAAAATAATCCTTGTTTTCAAAACTAAATATATATTTGTTAAATTTGACAGAGTTAACCGATTGACTTCCCGTCATTGCCCACCATGAACTATGAGTCGCTTTCAAAACTTCAAAATCTAATTAATATTTTGATTTATTTTGACGTTTTTTTATTTAACTATTTTGCAACAAAAAGTATTTAACTAATTGATGATGGATTATCTCTTCTGAAAGAGTCAAAACTATTACTTCCTGTTAAACTAATGTGAAAGTCAGAATGAAATATAATCGAGAATCGCTTTCTTGATAAGCCGGCGCTAAAGAAAAAACAAAAAATCATATACATATATGAAATATCTGTTTAATAAATAATTCTTTTTAACATATCTTACATTTTCTGGTTTCTAAGTTTCTCTATATAAACAAATCACTTTCAACAATCTAATTTCTACAACACAACAAAGCACATCAAAATCTTTGTTTTTGTTACGAAAAGCACATCAAAATCTTCTCTCAAAATGATGAAGATGTTTGCTCAGATGACGGGGGCTTGTCTGGTGCTGGCATTGGTGATTCCAGTGGTCTCCTCCCAATACGACTACGACAATACAACGAAACCAAGTTCTGCTGTCACCGTTGCCACGGATATCTTCACCGGCTTGGCCATAGCCACCGTGGCTCTAGTGGCTGGTTTCATCTACTGAAATTTCGTAAATTTCTAATTTGTGTTTTAAGAGTTTAAAATGATTTTTTTGGTGAAAATACTGAAGATTGACAAAAATTTGTAATCTAATGGTTTGTGTTAATATTGTCGTGTAATTATTTAATATCCAGGTTCAATCCTGTATATCGTATGATGATGACCAATAAACTAAAAGATAAAAACCATTAGATCTATTATTTATGGGATTCTTTATCGGAGAAGAGATTTACGTTAACTCATTTTTGTCAATTTGGTATACAATTAAAATTTCCCAATAACCTAAGCAAATGTCCGATTTTTTTTTTTTTTTTTAGAGCAACATTTCAGTTTCCATTAATAGGCTAAATAGGGTCGTCTGTATTAGGATATGATGCACATTGTATGTTGTCATAATGGCAAGACAAATTTCATAATACCTAAACTTTGGCAACCAGAGTTTTGGGTCGTTTGTATTACGATATGATGTTACAATATATTGAATTGCAATTATGACCACATCCACCTCTTAGTCAGCAATCAGATATACTATAAAGAATTGCTGCTTTGAGCAAGTAGAAAAAAAAGGACAATAGATAAGATTTTTAATTTAACATATAAAATAAGAAATCACACGGCAATATATATGGTTGTTAAATACTCTAATAGGATTAGATTATATTATAATTATAATGTAATGCTAGATACTTTATTAGAGAATGTAATTATAATATATATATATATATATATATATATATATATATATATATATATTATAGGCTAGTTACAATTTACAAGAGAGATTAGAGTAATACTAATTACAATTATACCCTAACTATACATAACCTCTACATATATATCTCTAATCTATATATAATAGCAATCTAATAAATATCATTTGCACATCTGAACGGTTGCGTCTTTTTATCGCAACCTTTCGTTTAAATCGGTTATTTTTTACGGTTATTTTGGTTGCGTCTTTTTATCATAATTTTTGTTTTTAATCGGTTTATTTTTTACGGTTATGTCGTTTTCAATAAATACCATTTGTACATCTGAACGGTTGTGTCTTTTTCTTGCATCTTTCGTTTAAATATTTATGGTTGTTTTTCTTACAGTTATTTTTGTACGGTCATGTTATTTTATTGAATTTTTTTTTACGTAAACCAATAACTACATATAAAAATTGGTTTATTTCATAGTTTACACATGGATATATTTTAATTTTAAACTAAAATTTATATTTTACGGGTATATTTTTTAGAAAATTGCAATCCGAATATCTTCTGCGGTTGCTTCTTTTTATTGTACCTCTTCATAAACAGTTGCAACCTTTTATTCGAATTATTGCAATATTTAGTTTATTTCACGAACAATTGCAACCTTTAGTTTATATCACAAACAATTGTAACCTTTGATTTATATATTTAGTTTATTTCACGAACGATTGCAAACCTTTGATTTACATATTTTGTTTTGTATTTCACGAACAATTGCAACCTTTGATTTATTTTACAAATTGCTATAACATCTAATTATCTACCGTCGCGTCTCTCGGTATAATTTTCATAAATTAATATTTTTAATTTTTAATTACCAAAATGCATTTAAATGAGAATCGTTTAATTGAACCGTTGAAATATTTGGTTTATTTGACCAATCATTGCAATTTTTGGTTTTGTTTTACGAACCATTGTAATCTTTAGTTTATTTGACGAACTTGACGAACCGCTACAACTTTTGATATATCGCAACATTCATTTATTTCTTTTTAAACTAAAAAAATTATTTTACGTTATGTTTTTTGAGAAAGTTGCAATCCGAGTAAATATTTTTACGGTTGCATCTTTTATCGTAATTTTTCATAAAATGATTGCAGCCGTTTCATTGAACCATTGCAACTTTTAGTTTATTCACGAAATAATGCAACTTTAAGTTTATTTTATAAAGCGTTATAACCTTTAATCATCTACCATCGTTATTATTAATTTTCGTTTGATATTTTTTTTAACGATTTTTGAAATATTTTTCCCCGCGACATCGCGGGGGTCCGGAGTCCTAGTGATGATATAATAGATAACGAGAAAAAAACAAGGAAACTTTTTGTTTGCAAAAATTCTTGAGGAAAAAACACTAATATCTTCTTGTTTTTGCACATGGCTAATTAACAGAATGTTGTAGCTTTGTTTTATAGAGAATGTGTGTTCTATGTTACACCAAAGACATTACAATGTATAATTTATACATAAAGAGGAGGAGAGACTCTAGGTTTAGGTAATAGCAGAACCTTCCTAAACAGAGCAATAACAATATTGAGAATTGAATGAGAATCATGATTGTATCTCTAACACGCTCTCCTCAATATGGAGGGGCTTGTGACACTCCGATCTTGTTTCTTAGGTCGATGAAACGCGCATGTGGTAATGGTTTTGTTAGAGCATCGGCGAATTAGTCTTTTGTGTTAACATGAGCAAAGTGGAGAGCACCGGTATGAACTTGACCACGAACAAAGTGATAATTGATGGCAATGTGTTTCATCCGATAGTGAAACACGGGGTTGGCGTAGAGGAATGTGGCGCCTACATTGTCACAGTAGATGATTGGTGGTGCGGGAAGATTGATGCCAAGTTCTGTCAAAATATTGCATATCCAACTAAGTTTCAGAAGCTTTGTTGGCTACAGCCCAATACTTTGCTTCGGTGGACGATCTTGCCACACTTTGCTGAGTTGTGGGCTGCAACTCATTTTCTAGTTGAGCAGTAGGCTCATTGGAATTTGGGTTTTGCTGAGCCGTGGGTTGCGGCTCATTTTCTAAAGGAGCAGTGGGCTCAGAGTTAGATATAGAAGGAGAGGACGAGTGAGGAGAGGAAGAGGACGATACATACGGTGATGAGGGCTCTGAAGAAGATGATGATATTGTCCGATCCAGGTAAAGGTCTAAGTGCAGGGTTCATTCTGAGCAGACGGTGCTGGTGGGATCGATCCAAAGTTAATAGTGGTACTGTTGTGATCCGAGTTTCATTGTCATCGATAGCACATTAACGCGTTGACACCTTAGAGAAAGGAAACGAACATGCCTAGAGACATAGATGCGGCATGTTGGGATATGTAGACAATGTTATGCACTTTGTGTTGTCGAGTATCCCAAGAAAATACACCGTTGAGAGCGTTCATCAAGCTTGTGGCGTGTGTATGGCCGCAACCATGGAAAGCACAAGGAGCCAAACACCCTTAGCTTTTCATAGTTTGGTGCTTGTCGAAACAATTTCTGAAACGGTGGTTCCAAGAAGAGAACAGGCGCTGGCATGCGATTAATGAGATAGACGGCTGTAGAGAACGCGTAAGGCCAATATTCTTTAGGAACTGATGTCGTTGTCATAAGCGTAAGACCAGTCTCCACAATGTTCTATGTTTTCGCTCAGATAGCCCATTGTGCTCCGGTGTATGAGGCGGAGAAGTGAGATAAGATATACCATTCAGCGAGAGAAACTCCCTTAACGCAATAAACTCTCCTCCATTGTCTGAGAATAAAGTGCCGAGACGGGTTTGGAAACGGTTATCAACTAGAGCTTTGAAAGCACAATGAATGTGTCTTTGACATCAGATTTCTCTTTAGTGAATATAGCCAAGTATAGCAAGTGTAATGATCAACGAGAATGAGGTAGTATTTGTAATTATCGATGGAGAGGATTGGAGATGTCCAAACATCGATGTAAACATATTGAAGTAGGCGTTCGGAGACAATAGAGGTTTGGGAAAAAAGTAATTTGTGGCTTTTATTAATAAGGCAATCGGAGCAAGAAAAATGTTTCGAAATAGAAGAAGAAGCAAACGGAAGTGAAACTTAGAAATCAAAGTGTTTAAAATCGAAGAAGAAAGATGCCCTAAACGTGAATGCCATGAGTGGAGAGTAGTTTTTGGACCAGACACGGATAGTAGAGCCGCAACTTGAGGTCTTATTACTGGCCACTCATATAGATCATTTTTAGTTCGGCCTTGGAGCAATGGAACCCCCGTACTGAGATTCTTCACCTGAAAAGACGCATGAAAGAATTCAAAGGAAACTTGTTTAGCATGTATAAACGATAGACGGAGATTAAATTCTTATGTATGTTTGGAACACAAAGAATTTTATCTAAAGTGAAAGCTCGAGTTTCAGAAGGAAGAAGCTCGGGTATGAGTGATGCTTAGAGTGGAACCGTCGGCAATCATGACATCATCTCCTCCATTGTAGGGTTGATGGAGAGCCAAGTTGTTGAGATCGGAAGTAAGATGGTGAGTGGCACCGGAGTCGAGAAGCCAATGATTTGTTGCATAGGGAGAGCCAACAACAAGGTTGGCACGGGGCTGCCAAGGCTTATATGGATTGGGGGAAGTCGGACTGTTCTGTGTTTGCAGCGAGTGAAACTGTGGGCATCGTTTGGCTCTATGGCCCTGCGTGTGGCATAGCTGACACTTTCCCAAGTATGGCTTCGAGCCACGAGAGTTGGAACGGTTTTGGGATTGCGTAGGCTGCCTGTTGGAGTTGTTGTTCTCATAGTTGTTGTAGCATCGGCCATTGTTGTTGTTGTTGTTGGATTGTTATAGCAATGATTGTTGTTGTGGTGTTGGACAGTGTTAGCAGAAGCCGGAATCGGAGATGAGTGGCCATGTTAGGAGCCGAGAGAAGTCTTACTTTGTGATTACGCAATCGCTCATGCAAATCAGGAATCGCAGGTGGAGTGTCACGGCATGCAATCTGATCAACGATCGGTTTGTACTCCTCAAGAAGACCTTTTAGAATGGCCTCAATCTGTTCATCATGTTCAAGAGGCTTCCCGAGAGCTGCCAATTGATCAAGACGAGTGATGTGTCCTTGAATATACTCATCAATGGTTCGTGAACCCTTGGTCCATTGGTCGACTTGGAGTTTCAGGATGCGAATATGTCCGCGACTTGGTTGACTATAGGTCGAAGCAAGAGTGCTCCAGATCTCAGCAGAAGTGTCAGCCCGTGATAACAGTGATTGGACCGAAGCAGTGATTGTGCCAATAACGGCACTGTAGAGAAGCTTGTCTTGTCTTTTCCAGAAGGTGAAGTCAGGATTTGCAGTGGTGATGTTGTTTGTTGTAATCATGGCCGGTGGAGGAGCGGTGGAGCAATCAAGATATCCTGCAAGTTTGTAACCATCGAGCAAGGCATTGATATGTCGTTTCTACATCAGATA